CGGGACTCACAGGTCGTTGCAGATGCAAATTATCGGTCGGAGAAGCGGTCGTTGCTGCTTCCCCTTGCCCTTTCCTGCTCGAGAAGCGCGTCAGCAGAATGTCAGCGAACTGACAAATCATGAGAACGTACTCGACGGCTTCTTCAGCAACGAGCCCTCCGTGACGAGCTTAACGAGCGTCTTGACGAAGCTCTGCGCAGACGCAAGCACCTCGATCAGCCGCTCGTTCAAGTCCACCGAGACAGATCCGCATGCGTAGACTCACCGTATCTCCTCCGCCTCCCGCGCCATCAATCTCATCCACCACGACACACGTAGGCCTCACCGCTCCCTCCTCCCTCTCCCTCTCCTTCCCCTTCCCGCCCGCTCCCCCTCGTCCCGGCTTCCACCCACTCGTCAACGCCTGCGAATCGACCGCATTCCGGATCCGCTCATCGACGATGCGCGAGGTCCGGTCGTCCGAAGCGTTGATTTCGAGGACTTGGTAGCCTGCTTGTCGGGCTAGGACGTGCGCGAGGGTGGTTTTGCCGAGTCCTGGCGGGCCGGAGAGGAGAAGGATCTGCGAGGGGGAGCGAGAGAGAGCTCAGCTTGAGAAGTGGAGAAAGAGGCGGAGAGGAGAGTACGCACCTTTTCTTGCGGCCGTCCGTACGGGTCAGGAGCCTGCTCAAGCTCATTCCGTCAGCATGCCTCACCTTCCTCATAACAATCTCAGCGAACGTACCGCCTCCTCAAACCCTCCTCCCTCCGCTCCTCCCGCACCGAAAGTCCCCTCCCTCGCCCTCTTCTTGCTCCTCTCGCGCTTCAGCTCGGCCGCAGCAGTCGCCTTCGAGGTGCCTTTGGAGACGCAGGCGTCCCATTCTTTGAGCCAGAGGAGGGCGGTGCGGTGGACGCGCTGTGGGTCGGGTAGGAGGAGAATGGGTGTCAGCGTATCGATCTCCCACATGAGCAGCGACACGTCTCGTCTACGCTATGATGACAATACGGTCGCGCATGAATGAAGCGTGAGACCCGAAACGCACCTCGTCTCCCAGCAAGTCGACAAACCGTTTCGGCCTGTACCGGTCGGTCCAGAGAGCGGTCTCGACAGGCGTAGCGGCGGCGCGGGAAGTCTTCGATGGCGAGGAAGCGAGGAGGGCGGCGTTGGTACTGTGGGAATCGAGGAGGGTCAGTTTGCGAAGGTCGATCGCCCCGACAGCGACGAGCTCCATCGTCTCGCTCTATAGCAAGCGAACGAAGCACCGAAAGCAGGACATCGACCTACGCATCGGCTTCGCGCTGCTTCTTCGCCATCGTGGCGTCGTGTTCGATCTCGCGCAGGAGCTGGTGGTAAGGTTTCTCGAGCATGCTGGAGGCGAGTTGTTCGAGGGCGGCGAGCTCCTCCTTCTGCGCGCGCGAATCAGGTCTTCACGTCAGCACATCTCGGCCGCGACGAGTGAGGCTGACGAGTCAAGGCTAGGGGACGCACCTTGTTCGACGTCGCACCCGCTCCAACGCCCTTCCATCCCTCCAGCCTCTTCCGCCTCTTCAACACGACCTTCGATCCGTCGAGCCTCGTCGCTTGGATAGGTGCCGCCTCGATGTAGCCGGGCGGGAGGACGGACATGTTGAGGTTCGAGACGGATCCGTAGGCTGAGAGGTAGTCGTGGTTGTGCGAGCGGGAGAGGGCGGCTTTCAAGGTAGATGCGTAGGAGGTAGAAGCTGTGTCTGTGGAGCGAATGTCGCATCCGTGTGAGTGTAAGCGAGACAAGGAGGAGGAAGACGCACCTTTTGCGGTCGTGAACGACGACGCCTCCGTACTCGGTCGCTCGTCGCGCTCTGGCTCGTCCGCAAACGCTCCAAAGTCGTCGTCCTCCTCGAGCAGCATCCTCCCCGTCGCGCCTTTACCCATACTCGCCTCTGCTCTCCGGTTGTCCTCCTCGTCGCGTCCCTTTCGCTGCTGCTGCTCCCTCTCCTGCGCTTCGATCTCCCTCAGCACATCCATATCGACGTCCTCTCCCTCGTCGTCCATCATCTCTGCCTGCGCCGCCGCCTCGAGCGCAGCCCAGTCCTCCTCTCCGTCGTCGAGTCCAGCGTGTGCGACTTTGGGGTTTGGGCGGGTGAAGGGCGGTGGTCTGTTGAGTTCTGCGAGTGCTGCCATGCGTGCAACTCAGCCTCTGAGCGGGTGGGAAGCGAGAAATGCGAGTTTGGCGAAGTCGAGGACGCGAGGGCAACGCGACGCGCGTCGTGAGTGAGGCTGAATACAAAAAGCATTACAACCGAGTTTGTAATCTTGTATCATTACATTTAAGCAATACAACTGGTTTGTATTCAGTCTCAATACGCCGCCTCCACCTTCTTCGGCTCGCTCTCGCTTCCTCGCCTGCTCGCTTCTCTCGACTCGCGCTCTGTCTGGGACGGTGAAGGAGACGACGACAGCTCATTGACCTTGCAGACCCGAGCCAGCAACCCTAGCGAGCTCTCCTCTCGCACTTCTCGACCCGTCCCTCAAACGAGTCCCGGTGGCGATTCTCTCCCCATCGACAGCCTCTTCTGCCCGCCTCGAAGCGTCCCGAATGCAGCATACTCGCACACTCGTCGCCCGCCCCTTCCCCGCACCCGCTACCCGCGCCTTCTCAGCCACCGCCACCTCTCGCTCTTCCCCTCGCCCTTCAACTTCCGCCGCAGCGTTCATAGCCGCGCAAGCCGAGGCGGAGGAGCAACGAGAGAATGAAGGGGATGGACGAGCGAGGAAGAGGGAACCGGTCGTGCCGGATCCGGAGGCGTGGACGGGCGAGGAGACCAGGGAGCGGATGTTGAAGCGTATCTTGGAGGACCAGTACAAGCCGCTGAGAGTCAAGGTGCGTAGCGAGTGCTGTCTATAGACGCTTGAGAAACGTATCTGACAGTCATGAACGCATGCAGGGCTACCAGAAACCGATTCCCAAACCTGCTCCCCTCCCCTCCCAAGCCTTCGAGTCGTCTCCAGCCCCCGCCTCCTCCTCGACCACATCCGACGTCGACCCCGAAGCGATCCCCACACGCACGCTGATGCCATGGGAAGTCGAGTTCAAAGCGCCGAACCACTACAACCCTCTCCCGGGCTACCGGCCCCCTCCCTCCTCCTTTTCCACCTCAGCCGCACTCATCGGTGCCGGTCTCTCAGCGAAAAAAGCTGCCCTCGCCGCCGCCCGAAAAGACGCCGCACTCCTCTCCTCCCGCCCGACCGCAGCGCGCAAACAGCGCCTCGCATCCGCGTACGAGCGCTCGCTTGACTACCGTGGTGGAGTGCGGCCTTCTGGCGCGCAGAACGGCTCATTCAGCGGGAGGGGTATCGCGGTCCCTGTGCATGTGGATGAGAGTGGAGGGGTGGGACATTCGGGAGAGATGAGGGTTTGGGAGGGGTTCATTGAGGAGAAGATCAAGCAGGCGAGGAGGGATGGGGTGTTTGATAACGTCAAGGGACGCGGGAAACCGATGCCGAAGGACGAGGCAGAGTCGAATCCGTTCATCACCAGGTGCGTCGCGCCACTTTCGCTTCCTTCCGCGAGCGAGCTCCAGGCTGATGGGACGGTTCGACGCATCAGGACCGAGTTCTTGATGAACCGCATCCTGAAGGAGCAAGAAGCCGCTCCACCCTGGGTCGAGATGCAAAAAGGTCCGTCCGCTTCCCTCTCCCATCTCCTTTCTCCCCTTACACCCGCTTACTCCCATTCTCTGCGACGCAGAACTCGAAACAGCCTTAGCGAACTTCCGATCCGAGCTACGCGCGAGCTGGACTCGTCGAGCTGTGAGGATCCGGTCGTCTGAAGGGTTGACGCAGGCTGTTGTGAGGGAGATCAGGGAGGGGTGGAAAGATCGCGAGTGGGAGGAGAGGGAGAGGTGCGTCTGCATCTCTCGAGCTTGGGACGGAGGAGTAGAAGCTGACGCGGTAGTTGAGGTCGTACAGGGCTTACCATGAGGTGTCGATCAAGTCGCTCAACGACCTGACGCGGAAGTACAACATCATTGCGCCATACAACGTGCGTCACTTCCTCGTACATTCGTCGTGAGCTCGAGCTAATGTCTCGCGCCCTCGCAGGTCCGCCGCACCCTCCTCTCGCTCCGCCACGAGCTCGACGCAGCCATCACGTCCTGCGCTCCCTCCATCGCCGCCGAACTCCAACGGCGCATCGACTCGGGCATGTCCTCCCCCTCGTCAGGCGTGATCTACACCGACACCGGCACGGTGCAGAGCATGACGGCGGAGGAGATGGGTGGCGAGAAGGCGGCGGACAAGAAGGATACGATGTGGAAGGCGTTCAAGAGGGTGTTGGTGGAGGTGTTGAGTAAGGGCCCGGATCCGGAACCCGCGCAGGTGGGCCAGGCGGGGAGGCAGTGACATTAGGGAGGAGGAGGAGGGGATAGAGGGTCCTGTTGGCGCTAGAGTACTATTGTCGCTCGTTATTCATTCGCATTGCATTGTCGCTCTCTTGTCAATAAGTGGACGCCTGGCTTGCCGGACGTCGTCCGCTTCGTCGTGGACAGCGACGCGCGAGCGACGAGGAGCTGCATTCGCACCTCGCGCTGTTGGGTTGCGCTGGCTGCAAGAATCTTCGTACGTAGTATCGATACACTCTACAGCACTTCCAGCCCTCCCGAGCGCTTTTCTGAGAACTGCTTTTCGACTTCGCCTCCTCGCGGCCACACGCTCGTCGCGCTCCGCCTCCCACACCTCACCCTCGCCTGGCAATCTTTGGACAGCGCTCAAGCATTCTTTGTGAGTCCATAGGCACCCGAGCGCGACCGCCAAGCCGCGCAGTCGTGTGCCGGCCGCGCATCGTCTCTCATCGCCTTGTCGCCAAAACCGCATCTCATGCGCCTCTGAAGGGGCGGGCTGAGACTCCAGGGTCGCAAATGAGCACAACGATGCTGACGTGCTCGCCACCTCCCGCAGAACCCGCGTCTCCCGTCTCTCCCACCTCGACCCCCGCCTCTCCCCCTCCTCGCCCCCTCAACTCGCTCGGACTAGCATGGCGGAACGGATCAAGGAGGTGTGGGCGAACAACCTGGAGGAAGAGATGTCGTACATCCGGGCAGCGATCGAGAAGTACCCGTTCGTGGCCATGGTGCGTCTCCCTCGCCCGGTTCAACAGCAGGCCGCGCCGCCAGCGCTGCAGACGCTGATCGCGCCGATGTTTGCTGCACAGGACACGGAGTTCCCCGGCGTCGTCGCCCGCCCTATCGGCTCCTTCCGCGGTTCAAGCGACTACCACTACCAGACCCTCCGGTGCAACGTCGACCTCTTGCGCATCATCCAGCTCGGCATCACCCTCTGCGACGAGAACGGCGAATTGGCACCGGGAGTGTGCACATGGCAGTTCAACTTCCAGTTCAGCATAAAGTGAGTCCGCTGCTTTCGAGGATCGAGGACGGCTAGTTGGCCTTGTCACAATTGGGCAGCTCCGGCCTCGTTCCATCTCACGAGACAGCGGACACTAAAGATCTTCCTGTCCGCAGCGACGACATGTACGCGCCCGAGTCGATCGAGCTCCTCACCAAGTCCGGCATCAATTTCAAGCGTCATGAGGAGTACGGGATCTCGGTGGAAGAGTTCGGCGAGCTGTTGATCTCGTCGGGACTGGTGCTGCTTGACGAGGTGCAGTGGGTGTCGTTCCACAGGTGCGTCCAGCCTTCGAACAGATCCGGCCTAGCTTTCTTCTCCGATGCGAGCATCGCTGATCCGCGTTGTCGGTGCGTGCAGCGGCTACGACTTCGGATACCTGCTGAAAATCGTCTCGTGCGCGCCTCTGCCACCGACCGAGACCGAATTCTTTGAGCTGTTGCGGATCTGGTTCCCCTGCATCTGGGATATTAAGGTGCGTATCCCGCATTCCGCTCCTGTCGCGAGCCCCTCAGCTGACGCATCGCTGGGCACAGTACCTGATGAAGAGCTGCAAGACGCTGAAGGGAGGGCTGCAGGAGGTCGCGGACGATCTTGGCGTGCGTAGCTTTTTCTCTCGTTTCTTCTCTGAGCAGCTCGCTAATCTACCTAGGTATTTCGTGCAGGTCTCGCGGATAGGGCCGCAACATCAGGCCGGATCGGACAGCTTGCTCACCGCCGCGACGTTCTTCAAGATGCGCGACAAGTTCTTCGAGAACAAGATCGAGCCCAAGTTCATGGTGCGCGCTCGCACGCAGCGCATGTCACGCTCACAAGCTGACCGCTCGATTTCGCAGGGCGTTCTGTACGGCCTCAACTCGTCTTCCACCCCCGCCAACCCCGCCTACCCTCGAGAATACAACGGCGCGGTGCACTACCCGATCAACGTCGGCACACCCACACCTTCCGCCGCACCCTTAGCTGCAGCAGCCTCGTCCGCCATCGCCATCATGTCGCCTTCACCGAAGCAACGACCAGCCGCGACCTGATCTCGGCACTCGCTCGCCTCGCCGCGATGATACCAAGGACGTTCGGTTGTTGTAGCTATACCCTCTCGCGCTCTCGCTTCTTGCAAGAGCCCTTTCTTTCTCTCATGCTCTCGTTCTCGTGGACCCACCGTCAGGGTCCGCGGACCCCTTCGGTCCTTGTGCCCGCTTCTCCGGACTCTCGCGCGCGCTTCTCTCTCTTTCTCCTTCTCCTCATGGCTGCGATTCCCCTTCGTCGGCGCGTGAGCTAGCAGCGCTTGCTAGCGGGGATCAGCAGGGCGTGCGTCCACTTCCTCTCCTCCTCACCTCTCGTCGCTGACAGCTTCGAACTCCTCTGCAGTCCCCACGAGACTCGCCCTCGCACCGCCTCTCGCTCTTCTCTCGCCATGCCCGCTACGAGGAGGAAGACCCGTCGCATCAAGCGCGAGGAAGACGACGAGGCGCCTTACCAGCCTCGAGGAACGAGGAACAAGGCGCGAAGCAGCAACAAGAAGGAGAGGCCAAAGCGGCGCCAACCTTGTGAGTTGGGTCGCGCCCCCACGTTCGTGGCGATAACGTGATTGCTGACGACGTTTGTGCGGCGCAGGCGACCATTGCAAGCAGACGAGGTGAGCCGTTCCGTTCGAACGGAAGACGCCGACTGATGCCCTTCTTCGTTGCGCAGGCATCGGTGCATCATCTCGAGCGTCCCAGTGGAGGACGGCAACGAGAGCGACGACGGCGCTGAGGAGGACCAGCACAAGCTTCCTTGCGACGCCTGCATCGCGTCTGGCCGCAGCTGCACGTACGGCGTCCTCGAGGTCGACTGGCAAGGACGCAAGCGGTGCGCTCTCGCTTCGCAGTCTTTACTGAGTCGAAAATTGACTCAGTGTACGCGCAGAGCGTACGGCATCCTGAGCGAGCTGGACGAGCGTCTCGCGAAGCTCGAAATTCTCCTCCTCCGCAAGACCGGCGTGAATTCGCCTTACGAGCTCGACGACCTCGACCTCGTGCTCGCGAAGATCGGTCCGCCGCAAGATGTCGACCAGGCGCCGCCCTCGCGCGATGCAGACGATGGCATTCGTCGGCGACCAGTCAAACCGCTTTCCCCTCGTCTCCCTCCTCTCCGTCCTCTCCCACCCCTTTCTCCTGCTCTGACGCCTCAGCTCGAGCCAAGTGTCAACCATAAGATCGCCTTCGCGCAAGACCTCTTCGAGGTCGCGAGCTCGTTCTGGCCGGCGAACCCGCTATCGTCGGGCTTGACCTGGCGCCAGCCGGTCCTTCAGCTCGACGGCGCTGCGGAGGAGCTTGCATCCGCCCTTGCCACCCTCGAGATCGTCGACGTGCACAAGTCGTTGCAACCTGTCGCGCGCGAGCCGACTCGTACGTTCCCGAAACTGTCAACGCCCGCATCCTCCGTCTCTTGCCTCCTTTCTCCGACGCCTCAGTCAGCCTATCCTACGGTACATTCTCAGCCTAACAGCCCGACCCCTCCGCACGTCTGGACACCGTTCGTCTCCAAGTCGCCCCTCACCCCGCCTCTCGCCCTGTACAACCACACTCTCCCAACTCCTGTCGCCTCGCCCATCACGCCCGTCAAGACTGTATCTATCACGAGTCTCGTCCACCCGCGCCAGATCTCGCCTCCTCCCGATTCTTGCCTCTGGCGCTACTTCTCCGACTCGGCTCCCGTTCTTCCCGCCTCTCCTCCTCCTTCCGTTCGTTCGATTCGTTCGCGTACTAGCACTGCCTGTTCCACTGCAGCATAGATTCCTCCTCACGTCTCACGAACTCTTCTTGTAGCCATCTAACACTGTCGAAACGCGAACTTCTTTGCGAACAGAACGAGATAGGTACAACAACGAGCGACTCTGCACTGTACCACGCGCTCTTCATTAGCTCAAGCCGAGACCCATCGCCCGGAACCTATCCTCGAGCGCCTCGACGTTCGGCATAACCTTCCGCAGAAGCTCCTTCTTCTCCTGCTCCGTTCGGACGTGGCGAGGTCGGGCGTCAAGTGCGGGAGAAGGACCTGATGAAGCGACAGATGTCGGAGCCGTCGAGCGAGAGGAAGAAGATGACGTCGAGCCGGAAGAGGAGGAGGTGCCAGTCGTTGCAGCGAACGAGGCGAGATCGACGGTAGAGCGGGACCGAGAATGGCGGGTTTCTCTCTCGGGCGCAGGTGCAAGAGTCGGAGGCGCGATGAACGAGACGGGACGAGGGCGGCGAGGTGGGTGCATGTCTTCCGCATCGGCATCGTTGCTGTCCTTCGACAAGCGGATGCGAGGTGGTCGAGGAGTTGGCTCCAGGTCGGGAGATGCGAGTTTTCGTGACGAAGATGAGCGAGGGAGATAGGAGGAGAGTGATGTGGTTGACTGCGCGCGCTGATGAATCGATCGCCGAGGGGATGGCGCTGTGGAGGAGTTGCTGGATAAGGACGGCGGATCCGACAGTCGGGCTGCCCGGCTTGATCGAGGAGTAGAACACTCTTCGTCCTCCGCTGTTGTAGAGAGTCGCGGGGATCGGGGCGGTCGAGAGTACTGGTCGAGGCGTGAAGAGGAGGAAGAAGCGGCGAGAGAGCGTCGAGGCTTGTGACCCGGTGCAGGAGGATGTGCTGCTCGAGTCGGCGTCGCCGTCAGGGTGGAGAGCGAAGCCATACTCTGCGAGCGAGAGTGCGTTGTGCGGCGTGGAGTGCGCGTCGGGGATGAGTCGCGAGACGAGGCGGAGTAGGAGGACCGGCCGGACGGCGAGAAGGGCGGGGGCGCTTCTGATCGCATCGACGACCGGGCCTTCGGCTTGACAGGCGTCTGGGGAACGAAATCGGCTGCTGAGGCAAATAGGGTAGGAAGGTTGGTCGCGTCTACGAGGACTTGCGATGACAGGGTTGAGAGAGTCGAGCGAGCGAGGGAGGAGAACGAGGAGTCTGGCGAGGGAGGTCCAGGCGAGAGAGGGTTGTTGGCTTCGGGAAGGAGGTAGTAGTACAGCAGCTCGACGACCTTGATGCTGTGGGCGAAACGGTCAGCCGGAACATACGAACCCAGCTCGTGTGGCCTTACCGAACAGCCTGCGGCACGTTCTTATCCTTGAGCACCTTGACAATAGCCGACAGACCCCCGTTCTCCTCGAACTTGCGCATGTTCTTCGGTCGGTCAACCAGAGCGCAGAGCAAGGTGTCGAGGGCTGCAAGAGCGAGCTGTGTCGTCGGTAGGACTGACGGTGCAGTGGCGGATGCGAGATTTGGTGAACTGAAAGGAGATGGCGGGAAGAGAACAGGAGAAGGTGCAGGCTTGGGCGAAGAGAGGAGAGGCGAGTTTGGGGGATGTGGTCGTGATATATCGAGTACCGCAAGAAGGTACTGTTGCATCCGTCGTCAGCTTCTGTGATAGCGTCATAGATGGCCTGGCGCACCTCTAGACTGCTCTTGCGGGCAAAGAGGCGTTGGCTGGGTCGGTGGAGGAGCAGAAGACCCTGGACGAGCTTGAGGCACCGCACGATGTTCGTCCATCCCTCCGAGTAGTGAGCTGCAGGGCTCAATATCAGCTCGACTGTCTGACGAGTCGGAATGAGAACGCACCGCCGCCGAAGTCCTGCCCTCCAGCCAACTCGCGCCCAAGCCACTCCAGCAGTGTCACGGTGACTGCAAGTGAGACATTCAGCCCGGCGAGTTGTCAGAGGAATCTATCTTAGCATACCATTGCGGTCAAACGAGTCCTGGAAGCGGAGGAAGGCGGAGAGGAGGGGATGTTGCGGGTCGAGGACGAGCGAGGCGACAAGAGTCTCCAGCTGAGCGAGGGCGGCCGCATGTTGGTCGCGTGTAGATCTCAGAGACACCAACGTATCAGTCACAGTCGCCAGCGTGGCCTTGAGCGAGCGGGCGCCCATCGCATCGTCGCGGAAGAGGCGAAGTGTTGGTTCATCTTCTCCCGCCCACTTCAGCGATCCCTCACGATGACAGACAGCTTGTTCGGGTCAGAGTCGGACTCAGACGGCTCAGTCGACGACGCGGAGCCCGCCACGCCTTCTCCCGCTCCCTCAGCCTCCTCCCTCGTCGCCTCATCAGTTGGACCGCCCATCCCGGGTTTCTACCTCTTCCGCGGTGCCATTCCGGTCGACGTGCAGGAGGAGTTGACCATGGCACTATCTCGAGACGTCTGGACGGGCGGGACGGACCAAGTGATGCTTTTCGAGCGTGCGGGGACCTCCTCATTGCCCTCCTTCCTCAATCCGGTCCTCCAACTCCTCCCTACCATCCTCGCTCCTCTCTCCGACGACGTCAAGCGGCACGTGTTTGGCAGCTCTCGTCCTCGACAAGCCATCCTGAACCTCTACGCGCCAGGACAAGGTATTTCCCCTCACGTCGACCTGCCGACTCGTTACGACGACGGCATCGTCGGCATCTCACTCGTCAGCTCGACCGTCATGGAGTTTCGACCGTCGCCCTCGTCCTCGCAGTCCAGCGAGAGCAACCTTCCTCCTCCATCTTACGCCGTCCGACTTCGACCAGGCGACATTTACGTTCTCTCCGGTCCAGCCCGCTGGGAATGGTTGCACGGCATACCCGCTCGCGAGGAGGATCTCGTCGAGGACGAGTCGGGGCGCCCCATGCGCGTCAGGCGAGGGGTCAGGATGAGCGTGACGTTGCGGAGGATGCTCGAAGGCGCTGAGCAGATCGGCCCAGAAGAGCAAGGTCGCGGTGGCTGAGGCGCACGCCCACCAGTCGATCCGACATCTAGGCGGACGCGTCCAGCGCGCACCTCGAGCCATAACCGCAACAATGGCAAATCGACTCGATGGGCCTGCTCGACCCGCTCTCGCTCCGACTTCGGGATACGCACCCGTTCAAACCCTCGGCCAGAAGCAACGACGCAGCGAGTATACGACGCGACTGCACAGCCGTCATAAACCAAGCGGCATTCCAAGCAACCGCTTCCAGGCGGTTCAGGCGTGCCCCAGCCTTTCGAAACCGCCGCTCGGCACCGCTGCGTGACGTCGCTCCGGCATAAACTCTGTATCGTATAATTTGTGCCATGGGAACTGCAATCGAGCCGCACAGCGGATGTGAGGCCTCTTCAAGTGGACGCTTCCGCGAGTTCGCCCTGCTCTTGCTTGTCACTTAGCTCGGCTCGCTCCGAAAGGTCATGCTGGCATGGCTGCTCAAGCTCTTGATGTATGTTATGACATCTACCGCACAGTCAGCGCCCAACGCTCACCCTCTCTTCCACAGCCTCTCCTTCAACATTCGCTCATCGTTCAAGGCGCTCGCTCCAGCACGACCTAGCGGACAGACGAGGTCGCGGACAAAAGACGGGAGCAGGAGGTCTGACAGGGCGCCCAGGAAGCAGATTAAGGAGGAGCTGACGAACGTTCTGGTCTGGGTGAGTTCGCCTGGTCAAGTGGGGCCAGGTCGAGGTGAAAGGTGCGCAGGAGAACGACTGACGGGCTCGTCCTCCGCAGGTGTGCTTCTGCTTGCTGGAAAGGTTGGCGGACCGCACGCTCGGCTGGGTCCTCCCGCTGTACGGGACCTTCAAGGTCTTCGCTCTCCTCCTCATCCTCGTCTGGCGCGGACCCGCACGTTCCTGCAGTCATTCCCGAGTCGAAAGTGTACCGCTGACAAGGACTCGACAAGCAGGGCTCACAACAGCTGTTCGACAAGGTCATCAGCCCGCTCATCCGGCCGTACGAACGACCCCTCGACTTCGTCGGCTTCGTTCTGGGCGAGATCGTCGATCTTGCCTTCTTCCTGCTCCTCTTCGTCCCGAGGAAGATTGCGCAGCACTGGCGTCGGAAGAAGGAGTCTCCAGATGTGAGCAGCTTGCCTTCCTTCGTCCAGTCTCTCGCTGATCCGCCTTTCTCCTTCAGGTCCCGGCCATCCTGCGAGGCTTGCGACAGCCGCACCAACCTAAACTCGCACAGTCGCTCGCTGACTCGATCGAGAAGTCACAAGGCGACTCGGACGCCATCAGCGCGCGGTTCTCGCAGCCGGTGCAGGTGAGGTTGAACCCAGTGCCGTTCCGCCCTACCCGCCCGGCGACCGCTCCTCAACGTCCAGTAGCCCATACCACTGAGCGGCAGCCTACGACGCAACTCCCTCCACCTGTCGCCTCTTCCGCTCCATTCCGCCATGTCCCCATCATCCCTCCGACTGCCGAGCCCGTTCCCACCAGGCCGCTCCACCGGCCACCTCCCGTCGCCAGCACATCTCGCCTCCCCGTTCCTCAGCCGGCCCGACGAGTCCCATCCACGAAGACGGAGTCGGCTGCACTTCCGAGAGGCTCGCTCTACCCATCGCTCGCATCTGTCTCGACGCCGCTTGAACAGCCGAACGTCTCGGCGTCGGTCCCTTCACAGCCTGCGTCTCAGCCGTCGAGCGTGCCCACCGCCCGGACAAGCGCGCAGAAGAAGGGCAAGGCGAGGCTGCGTGAGGACGACGAGGTCGAGCCGAGTCGAGCGTCTCCGCCCACGAAGCGGGCGCGTACGTCTCGTCGCTCATCACCTCCGCCACCCGCTACGGCTCTCGACCTCGACCTGGACGTCGGCGACGGCATGGCGGGCGACTCACCTCCGACTCCGCCCGCCCCGTTCGCCTCGGTCTCGACCCTCCCTCCTCCGACTCCCGCTCCTCCAGGCGCTTTCAGCTTCCGCTCACCCGCCCAAGTACCGCTGCCCGACAGTCCCGCCATTTGCCTTCCTTCCGCCGACAAACCCGGGTCGGATCAGGCGACACCGAGACGTCGTAGCGCGCGGACGAGCACAGTCGTCTCGACGTCCACGAGCAGCGCGAAGGGGAAGAAGCGAGCGAGGGAGTCGTCTGCTGCGCGTGTGAGCGAGGCGGACACGGCTAATCCGGTTACGCCGAAGAAGAAGGTTGCGCGGGTCCAGGATACGGAAGCTGGCGAGACTGGTGAGCCTGCGAAGGCGAAGGGCAAGGGTCGAGTAGCTGGGGATGCGGTTGCGACGCCTCGCCAACGCGCCCTCGGGGCCATCGCGCAGCTTTCGAAGGATCTCTTTGACGACGACGAGGATGAGGTCGGACTCGGTCTTGGCAAAAAGGCGAAGAAGAAGGATGTGGCTAGCGTGTTGGGAAGAGGCAAGGCTGGCGGAATGGGTAGCAGCAGGTTGAGGCAGAGCACGAGGCGGCGGGTGACGGAAGAGGACGATGAGGTTTACACGGAAGAGGTCGTTCAGCCGGCCCCCTCGACCCGCTCAACGACGACGAACTCGCGAGGCCGAACGACTGCCCGTGTCGGCGCTTCCAGCGCTGCGAATACGAACCGTTCGACAGCAACGCGCAGCGCCTCCTCCTCGACTACCCTCGCCACCTCAACGTCCAGTCGACCTCCCTCTCGCCTCGCTCAGTCGACCGCCACCCGCACACGCGCCGCCGCTTCTTCGACTCCCGCCGACGAAGACGAAGCAGACGAGCTAGTCCTGCCGGCGCGAAACAAGGGTGCTCGACGTACGACGAGCTCTGCCACGACAACTTCGACCGGCTCGCAGCCGCCAAGGAGGGCGCGGCGGGTTCTGCTGGGTCGCGCTGGATCGGCGGCCGCTGAGGAGGAGCAGGAGGTCGACGGAGTCGCGATCGTCTCGCGGCAGAGGGTGGCCAGGAAGTGACGGGTGTGAGTATCCCACGGCGTATGAGATTGCAAGTGATTGCATGTACGGGACAATGCGCCAGTATCGGCCTTTGAGGGAAGGACCCGCTTGCAACGACCGCTTCCGTCGCAAGCCCCTTCGTGCGCGTCGGCAGCAGTCTCTGGCCACTTCGGCAGTCTTTTGCTGTGCTGGACCGACTGGGGCTTGAACAAAAGTTGAGGGTGCCGGCGTCAAAGCCTCCGTCCTTTGTCTCCTGCACTCTTTCTTGCGCTTTCGTCTCGCTTTCCGGTTACGTGACGCTGCCCAGCGCTTACTACACGGCTCTGCAAGCCCTCAGTAGCCTTGCTTCGCCCCACGCTGCTCGCCGTCGTTCGAACATGGGTGATTCTCATCGCTTATTCGCTCGCTCAACAACGCTCGACAGGCTCAACTGACGTGACACGCCGCTCGACAGCTTCCTCCACCGTCTGTGCGCAGTGCAAGACCGACGAGTCGAGCCTTGCTGCCGGACAAAAGCTCCTGCAATGTGCTGGATGCAAAGCCGCCTTGTGAGTCTCGCTCTCTCTCCTTTCAGTCCGTAGCTAACCTTCCTGCCCACAGCTACTGCTCCGCAGAGCACCAGAAGCGTGACTGGCCTTGGCACAAGGCGGCGTGCCGGGCGAAGAAGACGGGCGACCCTTACATCGTTCACTTCGACCTCGCACGCGAGACGACCGACGGCGCGCCCTGGTGCAAGCCTTTCCTCGACTCGATCACCATTCCCTACTCCCGCACCTACACACTCGTGACAAAGGTTCCCGACCTCTTCACCGTTCTCGCCCATCCTCTTCTTCCCAGCGCCGTCCTCTGTACCTCGTCCGGCCTGATCGCGTCGCCTGACGATGACGACTACTTTGACTCGGAGGACGAGGAGCCACCCGAGGAGGATGAGGAGACGAAGCGGATGAAAGAGGAGGACCGCAAGGTGCGCGAGGAAAAGGCGGCAGCGCTTCGAGCTGCCTTGCGCAAGTACGCCGAGGGCGGAGGACGCGTCATCCTCGGCGGACCGCTGGCGAACTACCTCCCTTTCAACATGATCGACGGCATGCTCGCAGACCTCGGCGTGTCGTGGAAATCCCACGGCTACCACCGCACGACACATTCCTCAACGTCGGCCACCCTCTCTACGCCTCTCTGCCCGGCGACTCGCAGGCGCGTGCAGCCCTCCCGGCGTCGTACTCAACAAAAGCGGTCCTCTTGAAGAACGTGCCGGCACCCGACATGGTCTACCACACGACGCCCGAGTCTCAGGTCGAGAGTCTCTCGATGATGCTCATGCAGGCCAAGGTCACGAACCTTGAGGTAGCGGTCGCGATGGGCAAGGTCGGTGAGGGATGGTTGGGCTGGTGCGGCGATGTGAACCAGTAGGCGGGGAGCACGCAGGCGACGCTGTGGATGCTCGGGCTGAAGAAGTAGGAGGTGCGTCTCGCAGCGCTTTAGGCTCCAACGAGATGACGATCTACCAACTCGTAAGTGCTCGTAGAGTTCTTGCAATAAGGAGTGTTGCAATCGACCATTCCTTCCCTCTCGCTTGCGCTTGCTTTCGCTCGATGTGGGCATATCCTGGGATCGTACCGAGTGATTACACATGTACAGCAGCAACAAGCTGATTGAAGCAAGCTTCACTCATCGAGCCCTGCCGCGCTGCCGTCCGAATCTCCCGCCTTGTCAGAGTCTTGCGCTGCGCCTGCGCCTTCCTTGGCATCTCCCGTCGCAGATCCAGTTGCGGCCGCAGTCTTCTTGGTCCTACACCATTGCAGACAGCAATGAAGGTGTCAGCCAGACCCGCAAGACGATATGGAAGAGAGAGGAGAGACGCACTTGCGCTTCTTGCGGTACGGCGACGAAGCGAAATGGAGGTACTCGCAGTCGTCCGTCTTGAGGGCCTATCAACCGCGAGGTAGGTAGGCGTCAGCCCAACTGGGACCTTACGAACCGTGCAGAACAAAGGAGCGGAAAGAGACGCACGCAGATGCCGACTAGCTTGGTGAGCGCACGCGCCAGAAGGTGCCAGTCGAGAACGCGGATAGTAGCCCCAAAGGCCTTTTTGACGCCGCGCAAGGGCGAAGGCTCGGGCAGAGAGGAGATGGCGGTTCCGAGCGCTGAAGTCGAGTCGAACTCGACGCCCCTGAACTGTTTTTCGTTCAACAGCTCCACCAAGACCTGCAACTCTCCCATCTCGTATGCGCGTCTGATGAAGGCCTGGAAGAGGCGCTTGATCTCGGGCATCGTGACGAAGGGAAAGGGAAGCGAAGGATCGGCGAGAATCGAGATGACCGTGGAGTCCTTGTTGTCGCCCGCCAATGAAGCGGAATCGTCGTCGGATGCTGGCGAAGCCGGATCGCCTGTCTCGGCAGACAGCTCCATCCGAACGTAGAGGACAGAGTCGACCCATTCGCTGGATACCTTGACAAGCTGGCGGGACAGCCCGACCGTCGACGACGATGATGATGACAACGACAACCGCGACGTCGACAAGCCTGCTGCATTGGGCAGGACCGAGATATCGCCGAGGAAGCGCAGAGCGCAGCGACGGTATTCGGTACTCGGGGCGTTCACAGTCAAGTCGTCGGAAGGGAGAGGGACAGTCGCAGCGGGACTGGCGGTATTGTAGTCGATCTGGGTGACGATGACAGGCTGGTAGAGGGCGTTTTGTCGATCCTCAGCTGTGGAAGACGAGTCGCGGTCAGTTCACAGCGCTGGTGCCGTTCTCGAAGGAGTCGGCGCACTGAGCTTAACCCGCTTGGCCGCGCCTCGATCATACGACGCTTGTGGATAACGAGCACGCAGTCCACCTTGAGCGATCGTGGCAGTCCCATCCGCTTCACTCGCACGCTTCAACCCGGCCGAGCGACGAGCGAGCAAGTCATCGTAGAGTGATCCGGCTGCGTCGGCCGGCGATGCGGTGGTCGACGAGCTCTTGCCTGCCTGGAAGCCGGGAATTGCGGGGTGGTGGGCGAGGTACGAGTCGGTAGGCGGGTTGGCCTGCGGAACGGCAATTCGTCAGGCCAAGATCGCGCACAGGAGCTAGTACAGGAGTGTGGAATAAACGCACGTCGAGGTCGAGCTTGAGCAACTCGCCGACCATCTTGTTGGTGCCGCCGGACTTGACGACCTCGTCCGCTGCGAGTGCGGCTTCCATATCCTGCTCGACGTTGAGAAGCGCGAGGATGTGCTCCTGCAGAATCGAGATCGGGTCAATCAGCGAGGGAGACGGTTAGGTTAATCCGAGGCGTGTGGGCGCACCTTCTCAGTCGCAATGTCCTGCGACTCTTTTTGCGGCGGGAAGAGGTTGTGGACGAGGCGGTTGTGCGCTTCGTTCGCACGCCGTACCGCCTCGATCTCCTCGATCGTCAGGATGAGGCGCTTCTCGAGGACGACGTCAACGGGCGCGCGAGAGGCGGCTTCGATGGCGGGAGAGGTCGAGGCGCGGCAAACCATCGCGACGAGTTGCTTGTCGAGCTGGTACTGCTGAGTGACGACCTTGACACGCGGATCCTCCTCGATCGGCAGGAGCGACAGTTTGAGCCTCTTGCGCTGCTGGTTCTCGAACCGGATTCGGTCGAAAGTCTCGTCGACGGGCGGCGGCGTCGTAACTGCAGAGCTCGCGTAAGCGAGATAGCACAACTGCGCGAAAAGAGGCGACGCACGGATCTTGTTGAGCGTCGGAACCATGAGGACGATGAGGCCCTTCGCCCTCAAGTTCACATCCTTCCTCATCAGCGCATCGAGGAATTGATACCCCTGCGTCGCCGGGTCGTGCAGGTCGAACTCGATCTTGACGAGAGTCTCGTCAGACTTGGGTGCAGCCGCAGCGGCGGCCCAGTCGGTGCAGAATTGCGCCTCGACGCCCTCCCCATGCGCGCCCATGTTGCCGGTCGTGATGATGATGGTCAAGATGCCGGTCTTGCGAACGATGACTTTCAGCTTGTCGTGGACGGTTGAGCCACCTGCGGGATGCACAGTGCGTGAGCACAACGTCTCGTCGCAAACAAGCGGAAGCCGGCCTCACGATCCAGCTCTCCCTGCCCAGCAATCGTCAACTCGCCTCCCGCATCTCGGACCTGTTTCTGCCAGCCGAGGAGATGGCGCAGGCCGGCGTTCTCAAACTGGTGTAGCGCCGTCGAGACGATGATGTCGGTTTCGCGGACGAAAGGAAGGGTCGACGAAAAGGTGCCGGCCTGCCAAGACACGCTGAGGGGAGAAGATTGGCGGTAGGAAAGCAGCGAAGCCCGTCAGCTCACTCCCCGTACTCACGAAAGCGAAAAAGAAGCGCACCTGCACAGGGGAGAGCGAAAGTACCAGATGCCGCCGACTGCAGTCGAGCACTCGTGGCGCAAAGCCGCAGCAAGCGACAAGGGGTGTCCGGTTTGCTGGTACAGGACGGTGGACTTGCCGGCCTGCGTGAGTATTTGTTAGCTCGGGATGGTGAAGGAACAACGACGCGACGTACGGGAGGGAAGCGAGGTGCACGGCGCGTGAACTCAGCACGATGAGATTCGACGAAGGCCTTAACGCGACCCGTGAAACCCTCGTCGCCCACCGCCCCGATTGAGGCCGCCCAGTCGCCCTGCTTCTCGGCCATCCTAGCCTCCTGACACGCCTCCGCAGCGAGCGTGACGCCCTTCAGAGCGCGCAACTTGTCGGTGTCGTCGAGGCGTCGGGCATCGATGTCGTTGTACGCGTCGAGGATGGTTTTGCGGATTTTGAGAGGGAGCGAGATGAGGAAGAGGCGGAGCTTCTTCTCCCAAGCGGGGGACGTCGACGACTTGTCCGCTGTTGTGTACAGGTCAAGCGAAACATCATTATGGAGCAAGGACAGCAGGAGATGTGAAGCGAAAGACTCACCCTTGGGACCCTTCTCGTCGCTCAACGTCTCGACCGCCCCGACATGCACCGCTACCCCTTCCTGTCCCGTTGCTCCCAAATCCCGGCTCTCCTCTTCAGTCTGCCCAACCTTCCTTGCGCCCTCGCCCTCGCCGCGCACTGTCACCGAAGTCGTCATGTCTCCCTGCGAGGTCGGCACAGGGCTGCCATCGCGCGAGCGGTTGTTCGTGGGTGGCCGCGACATGCGATGCGTGGGCCAGAGGTGTTTCTTGGCTGTTCGGAGGAGATCTGAGGGGTTGGCGCGGCGTGAGAGACTGCGGCGATGCGAGTGGGGTCTACAGGAGATGAAGGCGGCTCGGAGGGGAGGGACGCAGCGAGCTGTCGGACAAGTCGGATGGGCTGGAGAGTGAGCTAGCCTGAGTCTGTGGGTCAAGCGGCGACGGATCAGACTGCCCGAGGGAAACGAGCTGCACGGTTCTTTGCAAGGAGGAGGAGGAGGGGGTCAAGGGTTCGACCACAACCACGGTGGGCGACCCTGCTTTGTGCGAAGCTTCAGAGGCTCTCGTCTACACTCTCCCACGTCTGCTGGCGTCCCCGCTGGACGTTGAGGTGGACCCATGCCTTGACCTTCCTCGTTGTCCTCTTCCTCTCACGCTCACTCGCTCAAAATCGCTTGACCCGCTTCTTAACCTTTTGCTAGCCTTTCTTACGACGAACGCAGCATGTCGTCAATCTCCGGCGGCCACGTCCTGGGCGGATTGAAGCTGGACAAGCTCGTCACGCCTGAGCGTCTCGAGAAGCATCGGGTACCCGAGCGCCTTGCTGCCGAGCAACCCGCGACATCCGCTCTTGCACCCTTACTCGACGAGGCGCCGAAGGAGGGGTCGTGGAGGAGGCTGGGGGCGATCCTCGAGGAGAGCTGCAAGGAGACGGATGAAGGCATCGCGGTGCACTCGGCGGGGCAGGAAATCGATGGGAGTTCGGGAGATGCGAGGAAAGAGGAGATTCAGACGGGCGAGAAGTCGCTCCGCAAGCTCAAGATCAAGAAGAAGGCGCCAGGCGGTCCTCCTCCGCCGCCGCCGCCTCCTCCTCCGGCCTGGCACGATGCGGGTCCCTCGTCCTCCTCCACGGTCACACTGCCGCATCAGGCGTCTCGCGCGCGCCCTTCGACTACCGCGCCGTCCGTCACTCCTTTCGGCCAGCCTCAACCGCCTTTCGCTCAGTTCCCTTGCCCCGGACCACCGCAGCCGCAACCCACGCCATACGGCTACACTCCCGCTCCACTCGCTTCGTTCGGTGGTACTCAGCCGTACTTCTCGACGTTTGCACCACCGCCCTTCCAGAACAATCAGCACGGAGCGAACCAAGTTCCTCTCGGCATCGGCAGGTCGGGTCAAGGAGGCGGATGGCTTCAGGCGGGCGGTCGCGGAGGACAGGGAACGTGGCAGGGAGCTCCAGGCGGTTCTGGTGAGTCTCGCTTCCCCGGGATCGAGGAGCTGAAACCTTAAGAGCCGATCTTTCCGGCTTCACAGCGGGACCCTCGATGCCTACCGGCGCCCGCTCCGTCCAGACATTCGACTCGGCCTACATCGACAGCATCTTGAACAACGAGATCGATTACGAGGAGATGTCGAGCTTCATCAAGTCCGCTTCGACCACCGACGCCGAAGGAATCGCTCAAGTCGTTGCGCCGAAAGCCTTGGAACTTGCTACTCACGGGCCCGGCTTCTGTGCGTAGTGCTTGAGCGTCGATTTTGACGACGACTTACGCTTATCCTCGCAGTCCTCCTCCTCGACCTTTTCGACAAGAACAGCAAGAAGATAGACGAGTCTCTTGCCCTCGCGCTTGGCGGGCACTGCGTCGACCTGCTCAAAAGCGAGAGGGGAGAACGCTCTGTGCGCCATGTGCGTCGTGTCGCTTCCCTCTCTCACGACCCATCTGACACGATCGTTCGCAGCTGCTGAGGAGCCGGAACCTGTCATCGAAGATTGCCGCTTCCCTTCGCCGCGAGCTGTTCGAGGAGTTGGACACGCTTGCTGAGTCGTTCGAGGCAAACAAGCTGCTCCGGGTGAGTCTCGCAAGGCGGATGAGGAGGAGAAGATGCGGTCTGACGTCGTGATGCGATCTACAGCTCGCCATCCACCGCGCCGAGCGTCAAGAGCTGTTTGACGTCTTTGAGCGCATTGCGAATTTCTTCAAGGGTTCAGCGATGTCCGACGTCCTGAAGCACGAGGACTTTGCCGAACTGCTCAACGCCAGTTTCGACCGCTTGCTCGAGCTCGACAAGGATGAGGGAACGGAGAACGGCGGGCGCACCGACACTGTCCGTGCATTGGCGACGTCAATCCTCTCTGCGAGCGAGACTTGGAAGGACAACGGCCCAGCTTTGGTGCGTGTTCATCGCAGCATTCGTGCACAGAACCAGCATTGATCTAGCGCCATCGACAGCACCTCGTCAAGCACGTCATCCAAACATCGACGGTCGAGCAGCTTCACGTCGTCACGAAGTTCTTTGATGGTCGCATCCGAACCTACGCCTGCACTTCCAGCCCCCGCAAGCACGCGCTCGAGGCCCATATCCTTTGCTGCAGCGCAGACGACGTGGAGATGATGATCGAAGAAGTGCTTGAGACGACGGAGGATAGGCGGGAGAAGCTGCGGGTGATGTTGGAGGACGAGAACGATGTGTGGGTCGTTCGTGGTACGCGGATCGGTCATCTCGCCTTTCATCGCAACGCGCATTGACCTTCCGTCGTTCACAGCCTTCCTCGTCGCCGGCTCGCATCGAAACGGACCAAACTATCAGCAGCTTGTCGAGCGCACTCGCTACCTCCTCCCTCGCGTCCAGACGACCTCGCTCGCGGAGAAGCGTCTCAGAGCCTGGGCGTAGGGTAGCAATGCATGGGAACAGAGATGTACAAGAAGTGCAAAGCTACGAAGCAGCTTGTTGCTTGGAGACCAGACGCGCGCGCTCGATTTGCGCCACGGAATTGCGAGAGAGTATGGCCTTGTATTGTTGGATGCTGCGAGCGAGAGACGGTCAGCGTCGGCGAAGCCAGCTGCGGAAAAGTCGGCGCACCCAATGTCCTCCTTCGACAGGTCGGTGATCTTCTTCTCCTTGACCTCCCACAGCTGCTCGGCAACCTGCGAAATGAGGCGGAAGTCGTGCGAGACGATGACGACGCCTCCAGAGAACTCCTTGATGGCGCGGGCGAGGGCGTCGATCGAGCCCATGTCCAAGTGGTTGGTCGGCTCGTCGAGGAGTAGGATGTCGGGGCGCTCGAGGGCGAGCGCGGCAAAGACGACGCGGTTCCGGAGTCCGTCCGAGAGCTGGCGGATCGGCGAGGTCTGGTGCGTGCCCGAGATACCGAAGCGTCCGATGCACGAGCGCCAGTACTGGATGTCCTTCTCGGGGAACTTGGGCTTGAAGGTCGACTCCATGTACTCGAGGGGCGACTTGTCGTACGGGAGCTGGTCGGCCGAGTGCTGCGAGTACTTGGCAAGCTTGAGGGCCGGGTGGCGATTGATCGAGCCCTTGGTCGGCTGGAGCTGGCCCGTGATGAGGTTGAGGAGCGTCGACTTGCCGGTACCGTTCTGGCCGACGATGGCGATGCGCGAGTCCATGTCGATACCGAACGAGAGGTCCTTGTACAGCGCCTTGTTCATGTCGCCGTCGTACGAGAACGCGACGTCATTGAAGGCGATGATCGGCGGCGGGAGCTTCTTGACGTCCTCAAAGTTGAAGTGCAGGTCCTTGGGCTTCATGATCGGCTTGATGAAGCCGGCGGCCTCCATCTTGTCGATGATCTTCTGCTTCGACTTGGCCTGCTTGACCAAGTTGGCGTAGGTACCGGCCGAGGCGATGAAGCTGCGCGCAGCGGGAAGGGAACGAAGTCAGGCGCGAGCGCTTCTTCCAGCTTCAAACGATGTCCGACTCACTCCTTGATGTGCTTGATCTCCTCCTGCTGCTTGGCGTACGCCTTCATCTGGTTGGTCTCGTTCTCGGTCTTGGTACGGACGTAGGTCGAGTAGTTACCACCGTAGGTGAGGAACTTGCGCTCGAGGGTGAGGTCGAGGATGTTGGTGCAGACCGAGTCCATAAAGTCTTGCGAGTGCGAGGTGATGACGAGGATGTGGTTGTAGGTCGAGAGGTACGCCTCGAGCCAGACGACGGCCTCAAGGTCCAAGTGGTTGGTCGGCTCGTCGAGGAGAAGGAGGTGAGGGCGGATCGTGAGGGCCTTGGCGAGCGAGACACGCATACGCCAGCCTCCCGACATGTCCTTGGTCGCCTTCTTCATCATCTCGGGCCCGAAACCAAGACCGGTCAAGATGGCGCCGGCCTTGGCCTCGAACATGGACGGGTCGAGCTCCTCCAGCTCCTCGTACATCATCTCAAGCGCAACCTCGTCGACATTGTCCGCGACCGACATCTCCTCAATCCGTGCCTCGAGGCGCGCCGCCTTGTCCTTGGCGGACTGAACGACGAACTCGAGCGCGGTCTGCTCCGATGGCTCGGCCTCACCGCGGACGAGGTAGATCTGCGGGAGCTCGTGGTGAGTTCGTGCGAACGTAGCGAGTGAAGCGGGTGTCTGAACGCGAGACAAAGGGAGACTCACGTCGATGTGTTCGGGAATCTCGACGTCGCGGTTCGCCATCGACTCGAGGAAGGTGGTCTGTACAAGGTATGCCGTCAGTGGCGCCGTGAAACCCACGGGAAAGCGTGTACGCACCTTGCCCGAACCGTTCTCACCGAGGAGACCGTACCTGGAGGAAACGAAGGTATCACAAGTCAGCCCTGAACGCTCCCGAAACCGCTGAACCACCTCGCAAGCGCACCGTTGACCATAGTTGAGAGAAAAGTCGGCGTTCTCGATGAGCAGGCGGCCGTGGAAGGAGAGCGAGTACGACTCGATGTGGATGTCGCGGGATTGGGGGTCCGACGTCAAGACACCCGAGCCAGAGCGGTCGGTGGCAATCTTGAGCTTTGCCATGGACGACAGGTCCTCGACGGACCCATTGGCGGACGAGGTGAGGGGCGTGGACGCCTTTGAGCCCGTCCGGGACCCCTTGGTGGACGAGGCGACCGAGTCGCCCTTCGAGGACGCCTTGGCGGCCTGTATTTGCAGCAGTCGAGCGCAGTGTCAGATGTGATACTTTCTCCACCCGGCCAGCCCGTCCTGGTGCCGTTGCGGGTGCATACAGACACGAGTGGCTGTGAGGATGCGAGAGAGCGGTCGCGCACCTTTGCTTCGAGGCGCTTCTGCTTGGATGCGGACACGGGCATGTTGTGCGGTTGTTCTGAGCCTCAGCGAGTCAACTCCAGCCAGCGAATGGCACGAGCGAGCGAACGGTGGGAAGTCGACCTCCCGCCGACTCGACTTCTCCCCTTGGACAAAGCTGAGCACAACTTCACCCGCCTGGGGCAGCTTGCATGGGCTCTTTCGATCGCCACAGGCTCGCTATGGCGTACAGCGCTGTCCGCACCGCGCCACGTGCAGTTGTCGCGCCGCCGTCGCCGTCCTTATTTCGTCATCAGTTGGGAGATTCCTGGCCGGATACAGCGCGCGGGGAGGGCTGGACGGAGGCGAGGGAAGCGCCAAGAGCTCGGAAGGGCGACTGACGGAGTTGCAGGGCTCGGGCGGCTTCTGGGGACTGCCGGCAAACCTTCTCCTGCTCCTCCTCACCTCTCGAAGCGCTCTTCTCGCCTAGTCGCCGATTCTGCTGCGCGCTTCGGTTCTGCACCGCTTTCAACGCCGCTCATTTCGCTATAGCGGACCGCCACACCAAGCTCCGCCTGCTACGCATCCACCTTTGCCGCCGTAAACACCGCTCCAAGAACGACCGTAATGATCAGCACCGGCACGAGCACCAACACGCACGCCAACAACGCAGGAAACAGCAGGTTCTCCTCCCCATCCGCATTGACATGGTCCCTCCGCGCGGAGTGGTGCCGATTGTTTCGCCTCCACGCTGCTTCTTCCTCACGCAACTCGGCTTGGCGGCGCGCTTCCGGCGAGTTGGGGTCTGTTGAGGGAGAGAGGAGGCGAAGAGGGAGGTACTGGTTGTGCGGGTAGGAGGGGAGGCCGCTATGCGAGAAGGAGGTTGGGAAGCGGAAGTCGATGTTGATCGGGCGACGGGAGGAGGGTGGCGCCCGGATGGGTGAAGGTGGTCGCGCGTAAGGCTCCGCACGTGGAAGGCGGGGCTTGTACTGGTCCAGCGGAGGCGACTCGCTGCGTCGGATGGCACCTGGGGCTACCACTCAGCGAGCTGGCGACGGACCGTTCCGGACAACGCGCTCACCTGGCGATATCACTCGATTGTCCCATCGTCTCGACGGTGGAGCAGACTCGCCAAGCTCGAGGTCATCGTCTCGAGCGCGTCGTCGACCTCGACCTCGACTCGAGCCCAGCAAGGAGCTCCCTTCGCCTGTCTCGCTGTCCGACTCATCCTCGCCCTCAGTATCCTCGCTCTCATCTCCCACTTCGTCACTGCCTCTTCTCGCGCCGTGAACTGCCCCTCTGCCCTCTCGCCATTGCTCGACAGCCTCATCCCGCCCCGTCAACCCCGCTCGCCGCTGGCTATCCCTCCGTATCCTTCGCTGCCGCCTCAACTCCCTCTCCTCCTCAACTTCACGCTCGAACTCGTCGTCGTCTAGCCTGCGATGGTCGTGCCGGCTCAACTGTAGGCGGCTGTTCGGCAAGGACGAGCGATGTTGGCGAGAGGTTTGGGCGGGTCGCTCGTCACTCGAGTCCATCCAGCGGGTTGCAGGCAATTGCTGGTGGCCACGGCGGAGGAAGAAGGGAGAGAGGGCGACACGAACGCCCGGACAATCCGCGGACCGCCTCGGCCGTTTCCCTCGTCCTTCCGCCGCTCGCTCGTCTTCCAGCACGTCTCGACGTCGGTCAACCTTTCCCTCTTCTCACTCGCTCGCAACTACCGCCCAAGTCGCCACACGTGCAAGGGCAGAGTGCGCCCACGTCCGGAGAGTCCGCGGACACTTTGGCTCGCTCGCTCGTACCGCTGCCGCCGCCCTTGTCCTCCTTCTCTTCTTTCTCCTTATCGTCCTTCCCTCGCATTGCCCCCTCCTTCTCTCCTCCTCGCCGCCCCGCCAACAATGCTCCAACGCTCACCCTACCACGGCCGCCGAATTCGTGGCATCGAGCTCCCCTGCCCGTCGTGCATCCCGCTCTCGACGAAAGCCGCGTCGATCATCGCTTGTGCGGTGATGTGCATCGCGTATGTCGTCTGGAGCGTCGTATTGTGGAAGGTGCGTGCGTTTCGCTTGTTGCAGGGGGATGGGGGGAAACTTTTCCTCCACGACGAGGAGAAGGCTGATAGAAGTTTGGGTATGCGCAGGGCTACTCGTTCATCGTTGACTTGAAGAACATGTCGAGCGACACTGCCTTTGACGAGCTCTCCCTCATGGCTCGCTACACCTCCTTCTCAACCTACTTCACCATCACCCTCTCCCTCCTCACCCTCGGCGCTCTCGTGGTGTCGATCTTCCCGCAAGCCGAGACGGCGAAGTGGCTGAGCAGGATGATCTGGGTGGGCTGGTTGGCGACCTGGGGATTCGGGGTGTTTGGGATCTGCGCGTATTTGAGCGCGGATTCGTTCGTCAAAGCTGGGTGTAGGATGGATCAGGAGTGCTGGACGTACAGGGAGAAGTTGCGCGTCCGGGTCATCCTGGTGAGTACGCTCCGTGACTTCCCGACGATCAGAGCTAACGAACCTCTTCGTCGCAGTCCGTCTTCGCCACCCTCGCCATCGTCTTCTACTGCTCCATCATCCTCTCCTCCTTCGTCCACGTTCTTCACCCACACCTCTTCCTCGGTCCCGACTCGGACTCGGAAGACGACTTCTCCGACCCCGACGAGGCCGCCCACCTCGCATTGGAAGACGAGCTCAAGCGCAGCGGACACTTTGCTGCACGCGGAGCGCTGAAGGACCTCAAGGACGAGCTGGGGAGGAGGAGGGACGCGAGTCAGAGCGTGAGCAGGAGGAGGACGCCGGCTGCTTCGAGGCAGGCGTCAAGCGACGAAGAGCAGCCGCCTGCGTATAGGTCGAGGAGCAGGGGTTCGACCACGTCAGCGGCGAGGCAGAAGCAGACGGTCGCTCCTCAGGCGGACGAGTATAGCAGCGGGTCTGAGGCGCACTCGAGTGACGACGAGGAGCAGGCGCGCAAGGGGTTGATGCGCGCGGGTTCGTCGAGGACGGTCAAGTCGGGTCCTGCCTTGTCGAGTGACAGCGAGAGCGACGCGGGGACGATCAGGGAGAAGTCTCTCGGCAGGAGCAGGAGGTCGCGGTCGCAGGCGAGGAGGTAGAGGATTACGAGTTGCTGAATACAAAGTCCAATATTCGTGATCACAACTTTGCATGAATACAAATTTTGTATTGAGCTATTTGTGATCGAGATTACAATCGCGTCCTGCCGCGTCGGTTCGCGTGCTCGCTCTCCTTCACTTCTCGTCGAAACGCTCGACTCTCGCTCGCTGGACTGCTGGACTGCTCACATGGCCACGCCAGCTCACAACACAGACCCCATGTCGGACGACCGCACCGTCCGCGGCTCAGAGGCAGAGGCCGTCGAGGTCGGCGCGAACGGGAAACGCGCTCCTCGCAACGGCGCACAGGGCGGCGCAGGGGGCAAGGCGCAGCGCGTGCGCATCCAGAGGGACTATGCGGACATTCCCGCGGTCAAGGACGAGACGGGCGAGAAGGTTGCGCAGCTCTTCGAGGGCTTCCTCGAGCAGTGAGTCCCTCGAGGTCCCCTTCGTCGTCGAAAGTTGGCGAGAGGCGCTTGCCAGACGGACGTCTGTCATCATGTCGATGCTCACACATCTCCTGCGTGACACAGGTTCTCTGAGGAAGACCCGCGCGCTCTCCCAACTTCGTCCCTCACGTCCGGCGGACCCTCCTCGACTGCTTCCCGCGTGCACTTCTACATCGAGCAGGTCAAGGGTATGGAGGAGTTCAAGCTCACGACGCTCTACGTCGACTACCAGCACTTGCACGACGCGCACGAGCTTCTCGCAAAGGCTATCACGCAGCAATACTACCGGTGCGTTCGGCGCTTCTTCACCTTACTCCGTTTCTTTCGGCCTACTAACGTCGGCCTGCGTCTCCAGCTTCCTCCCCTACCTCCGCCGCGCGCTCCAGAATCTCGTCAAGAAGTACGCGCCGACCTACCTCTACTTGAACGCCCACACGGCAAGCACCGTCGCGTCCGGCCTGTCCGTCCGACAGTTTAACATCGCTTTCTACAACCTCCCTCTCGTCGAAGGCATTCGCGACATGCGGACAGACAAGATTGGGAAGCTTAGCTCTATCAGCGGAACCGTGACGAGGACGAGCGAGGTCCGGCCTGAGTTGACGTTCGGAACGTTCACCTGCCTTGTCTGCCACGGTATGGTCCGCGACGTCGAGCAGCAGTTCAAGTACACAGAGGTGCGTCCCCTCCGCTTCATGCCCTCACGCTATTAGGCCTGACCTTGCCACTGCAGCCGTCCATGTGCCCAAACATCTCGTGCTCGAACCGCTCGGCATGGAAGCTCAATATCGAGCAGTCCAAGTTCTCCGACTGGCAGAAGGTCCGCATCCAGGAGAATCCTAACGAGATTCCGACTGGCTCGATGCCTCGCTCGTGCGTTCCGCTTCCCTGCTCCCCCATGCGTCTTAGCTGACGAGGCTGCGACAGCCTCGACGTCATCCTCCGCGCCGAAATCGTCGAGCGCGCAAAAGCAGGCGACAAAGTCATCTTCACCGGTACCTTCATCGTCGTGCCGGACGTCGCAGCTCTCGGTCTCCCCGGCGTCAACGCCGAGATGATGCGCGAGAACCAGGGCGGGAGGGGAGGCGGACCGGGCGCGATGGGCGGGAACTTGGGCGTCAGCGGGTTGAAGAGTTTGGGTGTCAAGGATTTGACGTACAAGACGGCTTTCTTGGCTTGCATGGCGACGAGTGCGGATGTCAGGGTGAGTGGCGCGGTGGTCACTCTAGAACGAAGGTCGCTGACGATCACGACGCGCAGTCGACGGCTGCCAACATCCGCTCGGACGACCAAGGCGTCGAGGAGAACCGCAAGGAGTTCCTCGAGAGCCTGACGAAGGAGGAAGTCCAGCACCTCGAGTCGATGGTCCGGAGCGACCACATCTACTCGCGCCTTGTATCGAGCATCGCGCCGACCGTCTACGGCCACGAGATCGTCAAGAAGGGCATCTTGCTCCAGCTCATGGGCGGAGTGCACAAGCAGACGCCCGAGGGGATGCATTTGCGTGGAGACTTGAACGTCTGCATCGTCGGTGACCCGTCAGTCAGCAAGTCGCAGTTCCTCAAGTGCGTCTTTCCCTCTCGCTCCTATGCATGAGCGGCGGAAACTGACTGTCGCTTTCTTGCAGATACGTCTGCGGCTTCCTCCCCCGTGCCGTCTACACCTCGGGCAAGGCTTCGTCCGCCGCCGGTCTCACCGCCGCCGTCGTCAAGGACGAGGAGACGGGGGAGTTCACTATCGAAGCTGGCGCCCTCATGCTCGCCGATAACGGCATCTGCGCTATTGACGAGTTCGACAAGATGGACCTGTCCGACCAGGTTGCCATTCACGAGGCGATGGAGCAGCAGGTGCGCCGCCGGCTTGCACACTTGTCGCGCTCAAGACTGACCCTCTTCGCGTAGACCATCTCGATCGCCAAGGCCGGCATCCAGGCGACTCTCAACGCCCGCACGTCCATTCTCGCTGCCGCCAACCCTGTCGGTGGCCGATACAACAAGAAGATGAGCCTGCGCGCGAACGTCGCCATGTCGGCGCCCATCATGTCGCGTTTCGACCTCTTCTTCGTCGTCCTCGACGAGTGCAACGAGGACGTCGACCTCAAGCTTGCGCAGCACATCGTCAACATCCACATGCACAAGAATGCCGCGATCAACCCTGAGTTCTCGACCGACGAGCTGCAGCGGTACATTCGCTACGCGCGAACGTTCAACCCGAAGGTGCGCCACTCGATCTCGAACTTCGCGCGAATCATGCTGACTCTCGCCGTCTCGCAGCTCACGCCTGAAGCGTCGAAGCAGCTCGTCACACTCTACGGCAAGCTCCGCAGCGAAGACGCGCAGGGTTATGGTCGCAGCTCGTACCGCGTCACCGTCCGTCAGCTTGAGAGCATGGTCCGACTGTCCGAGGCGATCGCGCGTGCCAACTGCACGGATGTGGTGCGTGAACAATTGTCCGTGTGCGGAGAGACTGGTGCTGACTCGCTTTCCTCGGGCAGATCATGGTCGAATTCGTCAACGAGGCGTACAATTTGCTGAGCCAATCGATCATCCACGTCGAGAAGGACGACGTCGACATCGACTCGGACGACGAGGACAACGACGACGACCCCGAGCTCGGCGGCGGCGGGGATGGCGAGGAAGGCCAGGCTGGACCCGGGTCTCCCGCTCGCGACCGCACCGCATCCGCCACGCCCGCCCCTGCGCCCGCACAGCAGCCGAAGAAGCCCAAGGTCACCATCTCCTACGACAAATATATGCTCATGATGCAGCGCATCGTGTACATGATCGCGCAGCACGAGAAAGAGGAGGGCGCGGGTATGCCCAGGAGCGCCGTCGCCTCGCAGTACCTCGACGAGATCGAGGACCAGATCAACTCGATCGACCAGCTGGAGGAGGAGACGGTCCTCGTCGACAAGGTCTTGACCAAGCTCGTCAAGGTGCGTTTCGCTTTCACTTCCTCTGCGCGCCTCTCTTGCTCACTCCTCACTCGCACAGGAACGCTATCTTCTCGAGCTTCGCGGGTCGTCGAACGTCCAGGAGGGTCAGGATGGCGACGAGATGGCAGCCGACGAGGAGGACGAGCCCGTCTTGACCGTCCACCCAGAGTGCGACGTCCTGGAGGCGTAAACGCACGCCGCACGCTTCCCTCGCCTTCTTCATCTTTTCGTTGTCCCGCCCCGTGCGTCTGTATCCCCGTCTCCCTCGATGTCTAGCTCAGGTTGTATGGCCTCGCCGTCTCTGTCTGTAATGATGCGCTCGTTCGTTCCACTCACTCGCAGACGCGTAGCACCGCTTTGGCCAAGCTTTGGCCGTCCTGCGAGGTCCGAGGACATGCCGGCTGACGACGCTCCTCCCGCTCGTCTTTCTCCCTCCTTCACCTAACTCGCTCACGCTCACTTCGCTCGCACGACATGGCTAAGGAGTACAAGCTCTCGCAGACACTGTCTGTCCCATGGACTTGCGATAGCTACGGGTACTACTCCTTCGACCCGGTCGACTTCCAGGCGCCCGACTTCCCGCTGCATTTGCGCGTCTCGTACGACGGAGGCACCGCCTGCCTCACGTTCGAGTGGCGTGCAAGCACTGAGCCAATCGCCATCTCGCAAGCTGCCTTCAAGTTGACGACGAGCGGTTCGCTCGCTTTGGAGGTGGTTCTTCCGGCGACGCACGTCGACACGGGCTGCGGAGGACATGCGAAGCGCTATTGGACGAACCCCACCGGAAGCTGCGGCAGCACGAGCTTCTCCGTCAAGGCGACTTTGACGGCTAGCGCCTCAGGCAATGCGTGTGCCCAGCTCGTCCAGGAGCGTCAGGCTTCTGCCGAGCTCGCAAGGGGTGCGTCCTCGCCATCTTTTTCTCCTTCTGATTCTTGGAGTTCGACACTTCTGGCGTGCGCTCGCAGAGACCATGAGCAAGCAGGTGCCGAACGATGTCGCTCTCGCCTTCCCGCGCAATCAGCAAGTCCTCTGGTCGACTGAGTCTACTCTCGCCGCCAGCTCTTCTCTTCTTGGCACGTTGCTTCAGTCAGACTTCAAAGAAGGAGTTGCGTGCATCAATCTCGACGGCGTCTTCACGTCCCTCGACTTAACGTGCGCCGACCTCCCTTTCGACGACTCGGACGACGAGACGGACAAGTCGGAACTCGTCAAGCCTGTCAAAGCACACGCCAGCACTCTCGCCCCTTTCAAGCTCATCAAGGTCACGGAGAACTGCTTCGTCACCTACGCCGCTGTTCTCGCCTGCTTGTCCTCGCGCCACATCGCCTTCGCGCCTCTTCTTTCCAGCTTCATTGACGAGACCAACAGGTCGCGGACTGCAGCACGCAGGGCGCACCTGGAGCGATTTGTTGAGCAGCACCCGAACCTGCCCCTACCCGCCTCGCCCAAGTCCGTCTACCGCCTCGCTCACTACCTCGGCCTCGAGCAGCTCGCCAAGGTCGCTCTCAACAACCTCGAGTCGCAATTGACCCCCAAGAACGCCGCCTGCGAGCTCTTCTCGCGCCTCGCCTGCTGCTACCCGCAACTTAGGGACGTTGTCCTCTCCTACGTCGTCGAAAATTGGGAAAAAGTGGTCGAGTCCGGAGCCTGGAAGGAAATGGAGAAGGACGCTGACGCGGGCAAGTTGCCTGCGGAGTTTGTCAAGACGGCGTTGCTGCTCGCCGCCAAGGCGCTCAAGGCGAAGAAGTAGCGCGATTGGAGGAGGTCGGCTGTGTCGGGCGGGCGGCTTGGGCGCATGGCTTGACAACGCTACGAATGTGTACCGTTGTCCGCGTTTGGCGAGGTGTAGGCCTGCGAAAGACCTGGCGAGAGGAGAGGACGACCTTCCTAACCAATACATCCGCTGCGAATGAGCGTGCGTAGCGACTTGACAGGCTAGCAGTTGGCGCACGCTCATGCTACGAGCGACAAAGAACCCGCAAAGTGTGTTCCGCCCAGCTCCGGCGGGACTTCCACTCTGTCAGTTCGGGCCAGCTCTCTTGATGTCCTTCACCTCACTCGCTTTGCACTGCTACCTCGCGATGAGCCAGACCTACAAGCTCAACGAGAAGCGCACGGTGGCGCACACGCTGACGGGCGGTCGCTATCGACTCCAAGCTACGGCGTTCGCTGCGGCGGGCTTTCCCCTCGTCTTCACTTTGTCTTACGACGACGACGCCGAGCTTTACAAGCTCGACTGGAGGAGTGCGAGTGGACCGTTGCTAATCTCGCGCTGTGTCATCAAGGTGGAGTACGACGGGTACAAAGCATTTGCGAATACCCTTGAGGGGATGTACCTGCCGGAAGCTCAGGTCGCCTCCATCTTCGCACAATCCCCACGATCCTCGTATAGTCAGGAGACCTATACCTTCGACGTCGAGCTGCACTGCGCACCGGGCAGCTTGCAGCCGCGGGAGGAAGTGGAAGCCGCGAAACGCCAGCTCCAGCTGGCACGCACGACATTCATCGAGACTGAGCGCAAGACTTTTGCGAAGCATGCGACTGGTAAGTTCGACGGTCCATACGCGGCAGCCGAAGCAGTACTGACAATCCAGCATGCAGAGTCGATCACCGCTCAAGTACCTCAAGACGTCGCCCTCGTCTTTCCTTCGAGCCAGCGCGTCCTCTGGGCTACGGCAAAAGCCTTGACTCAGGCGTCGCCGTACCTCAAGGAGTTGCTCGAGTCGGACTTCATCGAGGGCTCGGCGCAGACTTCTTTCGACGCGGCCTTCGAGACGGCCGGCCTCGTCGGGTCCGGGTTCGACGACTCCGACGACGAAAACGACACGCGCGACGTCGCTGCCGCGCCGGCGTCAAACCGCGAGCCGAAGGCGCCGTTCAAACTCGTCAGGATCGCCCAGACGAGCTACACGACCTACGCCGCCGTCCTCGTTTGGATTTCCTCGCACCACATCGCCTTTGCCCCGCTTCGCTCGACGAGTCGCAGCGAGGAGTTGTCGAAGGACCTGGCGGTGCAAGCCTGCGCTGCCAGCCGCGACAGCAGCATCGCCAAAGACGCCAACCTCCCAGCACCGGCTTCTCCCAAGTCAGTCTACCGCCTCGCCCACCTCCTCCGCCTCGACGCCCTCGCCGCCCTCGCACTCGAGAACCTCAAGTCCCAACTCACCCCTAAGAACGCCTCTTACGAGCTGTACTCGGACGTCGCGTGCTGCTACCCTGCCGTGCGGGACGTCGTCCTCGCGTATGTCGTCGAGCACTGGAACGAGGTGGGCAAGTCGAAGGCGGCGAGCGAGATGCAGGATAAGGCGGAGCAGGGGGAGTTGCCGGTTGGAGCGGCGAAGACGGCGATGATGCTCGCGGCGAAGCTGGCGGAGAGGCAGAAGTAGGGCGGAGGAGGCGGACTTAGCGTTGTCTCTGCGCATCTGTTAGCTGCAAGCTTGTTGTGACCTCGTGCGGCCTCAGCGAGAGGCGAAGTGAAGCGAGTGGTTGAGCAGCTCAGCTTGAGTGGTAGTCGCTGAAAAGGCCCTACCATTACAGCCTGGATCCGGTACAGCGTCGAGCGAAGAGGCAATACGAGAATGGAGGGGCGCGTGAGGAGTCTAGAGAGCGGCACGGACGACTCCTTCCTGAGTCTGCGGGGCGGGACGAGCGAGCGAGTGAGGTCAGCCATCGCCGCGCTTAGCTACGCCTGAGGAAAAGGATATGGCAAGACGTACGCAAACGACTGTGCATGGCGGATCAAGTTGCGGAGTCAAGCGAAACAAGGTCAGCTCGTTGCGCTCGACAAAGCGTCGTCGATGCTCACGCACCCGCAAGAGTCCCATCGCGCTTATAGATCCTCCCATGCACCAGTCCCCTGCCATTGCTCGTCACCGGCGAGTTCATGTAGAAGAGGTTCCTGCCCGTCGCACAAGATCAGCTCGCCGTTCCGTTTCGAGAGGTAGCGGGAGCCAAGAGAGGACGAACCAGTCGTGCGCGTCGACGGTCGTGTCGTAGAAGTACATCGAGTGGTCGAGCGACTGCGCTCACTCTCGGTGTCAGCTGGTATGGCGGGGAGGAAGGAGAGGAGGAGACGCACGGCGAGCATGCCCAGCCGGGGCTTGGTCGATGCACCAAGACCCGTTGCGCGGGCGGCAGTACCGATGAAGTTGAGGTCCGAGGCGTAGGCGAGGACGCACTGCGCGAGGCAAAGGAATGGAAGTCAGCCAATCTGATCGCCATGCAGCCCCTACTCGCCGAGGCTCCTGCCGCCGTGAGTGGAGCATTGTCAAGCGGAAAAGCTGACGCACCTTCTGGAAGTCGGGGTCAGGCTCGACTGGCGCGCGCGAGCGGAACCAGTAGAGTTGTCTGCAGCGCGACAAGCCTGTCAGCCTCTCTTCAGACGCAAAACTCGGAGCGGGGAACGTACTGCTGCGACGCAGTCTTGTCGAAGGCGAAGAGGTGGCCGATCTCGCGCCTGCGCCACCGAGGAGAGTCAGCTCATCGGCGGGCGGAACGAGCGACGGGGTGGACACACTTGTCGGTGTTGCGGAGCTCGATGGAGGACTGGCGGCGCTCCTCGGCCTGTCGCTCGACGCTGCGAGGAAGTGAGGGTCAGTCAAAGCGACGGCAAGGCTCCTGCATAAAGCGAAAGTGTCACGCACAAGTCCTGCAGCTTCTTCGGCAAGTTCTTGGCGGCCGCCAGCGCCCTCATCATGACCTCCTCCGTCGCGTCGCACTCCTCAGGCTCGGGAATCCTATCCCCAACATCCTTCGGATCCTTCTGCCCTTCCTCAGTCCTGTGCCACTTGAGCGGCCACTGCGGGAGCGGGAGCGCCCGAACGGGCTGGTCGGGCTCGGCGAGGCAGAACGAGCATGTGAGGGAGAAGATTGGGACGCCTTGTTGGGAGGCGAGGACGCTGCGGGTGCTGTAGGATCGGCCGTCTCGGAGGCGTTGGACTTGGTAGAGGACGGGGATGTCGGCGTTGCCAAAGTTGAGGAAGTAGCACTGTGCGCACGGACGAGGTGTCAGTCAAGGCCATCTGGAGATGATGAGCCGTGTTACGGACGCTTGGACGGCGCCGCAACGAGCGAACTGTCCCACGACTCTAGACTCACGTGAAGCGAGTGCAGCCCCTTCTTCGTTCCCGGCTCGTCGCGCCTGACAGACTGCGTCGCAGCCCAAGCAGCCTCTGCGGAAAGCGGAACAGCTTGTCAGCTGTCGCCCTCGGGTCGAGGAAGGAAGCTGAGGACGTACGGGCGATGATCTGTCCTCCGAAGACGCCGCGACCTTGGGCGGGCTGCGTATGAGAGCCGCTTATCAGCTGCGCGGACGCTGGCCTGCCCACGAAGAGCGGGGGCAACGCACCTTCCAGAGTTCCCTCGAGCGATACAAGTCCCGGTCAACGTGCTCGAGGTCCTGCGGGCGTTCGAGCGGGGTGTGAGCACTCTGATACTCTTGTACAGCTTATCTGACCCTCCCACGACCCAGCCGAGCGCCCTCCTTTCGCTGCTCTCCCTTGTCGGGTTCTCATGAGGTGGGGAGGCTCACGATGGCGTTGGTGATGCTCTGCGCGGTCGGGGGTGCGTCTGATGGCATTGTAGCGAGTAGTAGCAGTAGTAATGAGCAGTAAGCGAGCCGTAAGAGCGTTGCGAGCGAGGTTGACCAAGTCGAAGCGTCCGGCAACTTGGGCGAGAAGCCGGTGGGCGACGACGACAGAGTCCGGCTTTCGTCTCGCGTGCAATTCTTTCCCGAGCCACGGATAGCAGCTCACCTAAGCACGCGAATGTGTTATTGCAGCCAAAGTCGCAGGTGGAACCGGAGACGCGGGCGAAGGAAGAGAGACCGGGTACAATCCGTTTGTCGAGATTCGCCATCACGTCTTCGGCTGGACGCTGATTGATCGCTGGAGGTACCGCTGACCAGGCTGCGTGCATGTGTCAATGACGTCGTTCAGACGGAGGCTGAGTTGGCGAATGCCGAGCCAGGCGAGATGCCGTGAAGTTGGTGATTCGGTGAGCAAGGAATTGCAGCGTCGAAGGCTCTTGTTAGCAGGTTCTGTACGTTGCACCAGCGTTGAGAAGTCATGAGCCTACAAACCGGTCGTACCAGCAAGCCGCACGAAGCGAACGGGTGGTCAGTGTGGACGCAGGAGCGGTAAGAAGATGACACGGCCCGTGAGCGCTGCAGCGCGCGACGGATAAGCTCGCCGTCTCACGCTGACAGTTGCTCGTGCAGGAGCGGGCAGAACAGCTGAAACACAACAGGCGTCGTCGCGAGGAGTCCAAGGGTGACAGCAAGTCATGGCCCCGCCTGCATCCCGCTAGTCCGCCTCGGCTCCGTCCCTGCGGCAGCCTACGCTCCAGAATGCCCTTAAAACTTCTCTGAAGCCTGTCCGTGCGGTGCGAGCGAGAGAAGCGGTCGAGGCAGAGGTCGAGAAGGCAAGTCGAGCGAGGAGGACGTGCGGGTGCGGCGGAATCGTACGAGCGGTCAAGCAGTAGTTCCAGGAGTCCAGTCAACAGCAGCACAGTCTCTTCGGCCGAGTCAGCCTGTGTTGTCGAGATCAGACCCTCCTCTCGCTCGTTCTCATCACTCGACCCGACAACAATGGCGTCCACCTCGCAGGAGCACCAGCTGGACAGCTTGCCGTGTGCGTGGACCTTCCAAACACTCTTCAGCGAAAGCCCGCTAACCCAGGTGCCATACTCGCAGACTACGATACCCCGCTACCTGGTCCGCTCGTCTCGCACGATGAAGCCCACGTACCCTCGTGCTGACCGATTGAGCACCGTGCCCGCAGAGCTACAGCCTGTCATCAACTCCCTTATCGCCGTCGAGCTGCGCAACCTTCTCCCCAAGACCCCCTCCTCGAACCCTTCCAACCTCTCGCACCTCGCACCGCCTCGACCACTCCCCTCACCCGATGCACACCCTTTGCTCGCCTCTGAACTCGCGCGAGTCGAGTCCAAGCGCCCTCTGAAAACCGGCGAAGGGCTCGACACGACGCGGTACGCCATGCCCTTCCCCTTGGAGGACGAGCAAGATTCCGTCGAGGCATGGGAACGGGCGTACCGCTCTTCGCTCGCGCAACTCGAGCACCAACGACTGCGCACAATGAACGGGACGTTGTTGCAGCAGTTTGGGGCGAACAAGTGGCGCGTCGAGAACTTTGCGCTCGAGAATGCGATCAAGCGCGTTGAGGGTGAGGGGGAGGAGGTCAAGGGTGTTGTAGAGGACGTCAATAGGCGGAGGAAGGCGGATCAGGAGAAGGCGGGCGAGACGCTCAACAGGCTTGAGAAGCGGTGGACGGATCTTGTCAGCGGGACCTTGCAGCTCGAGATTGGATGCGGCGTCCTGTGCGTGCGGTGCCTGCGTCTCTCGTGTACGCCGTACTGACGATTTTGTTGTGCAGCGAGGAGGAGCTCGTCGGTTTGCGGGCGCGGCACGCAGAGTTGCAGCAGAGGCTCGCGGCGACGGCGCAGTAGGCGATGTACACCCGTCTGTAACTCTAGCTGTTGCTCTCGAACGCTACGACTCGGCGAGAATAGGTGGTCAATGCTGGACTTGCGAGTCCTTTTGGCGATAGGGAAAGCCTCTACTGCTCTTGCTCTACTCCTCGACCGTCTACTGCGCAAGCTTCTTCAGCGCATCGCCCTGCAACCGCATCAGCTCCCACTCCGACATCTGCAGCGAACAAAGGCGTCAGTACCGCTCAGCTAGACAAGCGAACATCGGGCCAAACTCACGTGCTTCGCGCCCATCCTGCGGTAAACCTCCTTGGCCGGGTCGTTCCAGTCGATGACGACCCACTCCATCCTCGGCAGCTTGCGCTCCTCGCACTCCTGGCCGAGGTGGCGGAAGAGAGCCTTGGAGACGCCCTTGCCGCGGAACTCTTCCTCGACGAAGAGGTCCTCGAGGTACAATCCGCCGCGGCCGGTCCACTGTGCGCGACATCGCGAGATGTCAGTCTCTTCGTTCGGCGAGTCGAACTTCTCGGAGGACGAAGAGCCATCGGGAGCAGAGGAGGATCTGCCGAACGTACCGTCGAGAAAGTAAAGAAGTAGCAAGCCATTCCGATCGCCTTTGCGCCCTCCTCTCCTGGCTTCCCACCCGTGTACGCCAGCACACACTGCGCATAGCTCCGCCCCTGCTCATCGCCGAAGAACGCGTTGCGGAGGAGCTCCTCAGTCGCCTCCACTGCGTCCGGGTCTCGCTCGTACAGCGCCAGCGCCTTGATCAGGTGCAGCGTTGCAGGGATGGTGTGCGCGGCGTTGTCGGGTGTCACCTTGTGCAGGTCGAACGAGAGAGGCGCGGCGGACATGTTGTGCGGTGTGGGGAGAGTGAGGAGGGGGAGGTCGAACGAGGGAGCTTGCGGAGCGAGTTGTGCGATGTAGAGGGGCTGTGTGGGTCGAACTCAGCAGGTCTAAGCGGGTTCAGCGGCTCTAGCAGCGAGGGCAGGTCGAGGGATGAGGCGGAACGCAGTACCTGGACAACTTCGCTTTGCTGCAGAACTTTGCAATGACGGACAAGATGTTGCAGCAGACGGAGATAGGCACGTAGTGTGAACTACAGGAACACGGAGCGCTACAACGTTCGGGACGGCGCGGAAGGCGGACGAGCAGAACAAGGACCTGCGAATGCTGCGCAACGAAGGACACTACTTCGTGCTGACAACACCACCGAGCAGCAGCAGAGACTCAGCAACAGGAGATTGGCGGGCGGAAAGAAGAGCATAACGACGCACCTCTGCGCCTTTTGCGGATGGCGCTGTCGAAGCTCGTAAGCCGGCGTCGAAATAACAGGCGCAGTCCACGACGCGGTCTCGAGAGTGGCGTTGGCCACAGACGAGCACGGCTTGACGGCGAGGCTCGTACCGCCCAGACTGTCCTCAGTCGCAAAGGCAGCGGCTGAGTTGGCGACGGGAGGCGGAGCGGGGAATGTGAAGCGGGACCAGTCGTCGCAGTTCCACAGAGTCACAAGGCGAGAGGCGTCAAGCGGCGGGGGAGGGAGAGCGAAGATCGGCCAGACTGTCAAGGTAAGAGTCGGCGGTCAGCACGTGGTGGTTGAGAGCGCAGATGGACGCACGCGAGTAAGGTTCAGCAGGTGGCGGCGTGAACTCTCCTTGTCCGGGAAGCGCTGCGAGTACTTCGGAGGTCGAGGACGCAGATGTCGTGCGCCGTTGGTGTTCGATATACCGCGTGCGGGCGACATGAATGCCTGTGCGTCGAGCGGTCAGCTGTGCAGCTTGTCTGCCCTGCACTCCATCCACGCACCCAGAAGAGAGCTCCATCAGTATTCGCGTCTCCGTCTGATAATCTCGTGGGCCGTTTCTAGGTCCTCGAGCGAAGGGTCGTCTTCTGACACCGGCGGCGCCGTCTCGTCCTCAAGCGCAGCAATGCGCATACTCAGAGCCTTCAATGCGGCTGCGTCAATGACATCGTCTACGCCCATGTTCGCCCAGGCGAGCGGGTGAACCAGCTGATGGTACGCCTCAAGCTCAGCAGTCCAGCACGGGCAGTCAGTGCCTGTTGGAGCAACGCCGGTGTACTCCTCGCGGTAGGGCAGTACCATTGTTTCCATGACGCTGGGCTGAAGCAGGACCGGGGTGTGGAAGGGATCGGCGACGATGCTCGGGACGAGGGAGGCGAGGGACATGAGGAGGAGCAAGATGAGCATGAGGCGATTCAATGAGTGTCCGGCTGAACTCAAAAGCAGTTTCAACGATCCCCTGCCGTGTCTGCGTAGCGTCCTGATGCGTCAGGCAGGCTTCGAGTGCCAAAACTGATGAAGCGAGGGAGAGAGGTGCCCTTTTGCTGTGGCGAGACGATGCGGGCGCGCTGTTCGCGCTTGAGGGCCTGATAAGAGCCGTATCGAGGCACTTGTGCGCCTGGCGAGGGGCCAGGCGGCGCCAGCGAGGAATGAAGGAAGAGTTGTTCGCCGAGAGGGCGGGTGGGCCTGCCGAAGAATGGGAGGGCTCGTGATGCGCGAACGATAGCTGGTACTGCTGCAAGAAAGCGCTCAGCCGTGAGCAGAGGTCGTTCGGCGTGAGCGCGAGGAGATGGCGAACCAAGAGGGGCGAACGGGCGAGGTGCACGGCTGTGGGTCGCTCTTCTGCTCGTTGGGAAGGCCGATACGACGATGCATTACTATGGCAACAAACGAATGATAGTACAGCAAGTCGGAAGGACGGCAGAGCAGGCAGAAGTCGAACCTGCGAGAACGGACTTCGTCAGTTCAGCCCAAAGGAGGATGGTGTTGAGCGAGGAAGCGAAGCAAGCGTTGGTACGCACCTATACAGCTTGAGTAGGGCGATGGCGAAGTAGACCGGAGAAACTGAAGGAGAAGCCGGACGAGCGCGCTTCATCGACGGGCGCGGCGAGGAGAGGCGCCGCTTCGTCGTCCCATCGCGGCGCTCTAGGTGCAGCTTCGCGTCCTTCCGCGTCCTGCTCCGCCCTCTGCCCCTCGCGCCGCCTCCGCTCGTCCTCAGATCTGGCTGTCGGGCGATCCGGCAGAGTGTATCGGGTCCAATCGACGTCGTCGTCAAGTCGCACCGTTGCATCGTTACCTTCGGGTCGGTACGAGAGCGGCCACACTGTGCAAAGGGCAGTAGCGACTGTCAGTGGAGCGCTGGCGAAGAGAGAGAGAGACCTGAAAGCGCAGGGCGGCTCACGGGAGTGCTGGGCGGCTGCGGGCGCTGGGAATTGCAGATCGTTCAAATGGTCGTCGACGCAGTAGTAGTCGGTTCCGCCTGCGTAGACGCCGTGCATCCTGAAGTACTTGTCGCGAATGTCCCTCAACCCTGGCAAACCAGCACGCCGCTCAGGGAGAAGAACGGCTCGACGGCACACAAAAGTCACGCACCGAAGATCTTTTCCCATCTCTTCCGCAGCCTCGCCTCGACCATGCCTATCGCCACCTCTAGGTCCTCCAGAGCGGCGCCAGTATGCGAGTCCTCGACGAGTCCCGACTGCCGAAGCGCGTCCAGTCTGCCTCGCAAGCTCTCTAACGCGCTCGCATCCGTATGATGGTCCATCATCAGATACAGCCACACGTCGGGGTGAAAGGTGCGATAGTACGCCTCGAGCTCGGCGTCCCAGGGCGGAGCGGTGGCTTGGGTGTTGACGATGTGAGAGAAGAGGTCGGAGTACGGGTAGAAAGCGTTGTAGCGCAGACCCCAAGGCAAGAAGTCAGGAATGCGTTTCACGTCGACATAGACTTCCGGCACAAGCGAGACGATGGACATGGTGCGGGGAGAGGCAGAGGAACGGGTAGAAGTCAGAAGAGGGCTCGGTGAGGAGTGTGTGGCCAGAGTGAGACGATCTTACTGCACCCACGAGAGCGCAAACCGTCGCGAGCCGTCGCTGGCCAGCTTCGAGTCTCGTGCGATGAAGCGTGAAGAAGCGGTTGAGGTGGAACGAGGAGCGCGCGGTGACCCAGTAGGGCGAGTACTGACCGCAGCAAAGGTCTTTGCGGAGTGCTCGCAGCCGTCAGTCGACAGCAAGGCCGTGTACGAGGTCTATGGCGGAGGGCAAGACGCCGTCGAGGCGAAGATGTCGTTCTCACTCTCTCTCCTTTTCTGTGTTCTGCAGCTCTTATTGGAAGACGGTCAGACGACGAGGCGGTTTGCGGCCCAACAATCCCCCAGCCCACGGATTGACCGTTCACCTTCTCCTCGTCTGTTGGATCAGTTCTCGCCGCATCTCGACGCTTTGAGGATGTTTAGAGAGGATGTTAGACGGAGCACTGGCATAGCACCCGCCGAACGGCGCAACGAGCGGACCCTTCTTTGAGCGGATACCGCTCTACTCCTCATCGCTGCCCAGATCTATCGCCGGCATCTCATCGTCCTCGCTCTCATCTCCTTCCGCTGACGCCTTTGTGGGTTGTTCGACCACCACCTCGCTGCGCTCAACCCGGACCGACTCCATCTCGATTGTCTGAACTGGGACGGAGGTCGAACTCGAAAGAGCGGCTTCGGAAGAGGCGGCGGTGCCGACCCCGTTCGCCGAGGGTGCCGGTGCATCGGCTAACGAAGGAGCGGGTGCCGAGGTGGTGGACGAGCCGAAGGTAGGCGCGGCAAAGGCGGAGAATCCGCTTTGAGGTGCGGATGATGTCGACGCTGCTGGCGCAGTCGAGAAGGAAGGCGCCGAGAACGCCGTCGACGAGAAAGTGGCGGCCTGAGGAGCCGTAGCGAGAGATGCCGCAACAGCAGCCGACTTCCTCCTTCGCTCTTCCTGCTCCGCCGTCTCCTTCGCCGGCATCTCCTCGTCCTCATCTTCCTCTTCGCCGTGCTCCCTCGGCTCCTGCACCTTCATGCTGAAGTCCTCGGCAGTCTTCGCAAAATCCACCTCGTCACCGACGAACCCGCCGCGCTGATCATGCCGAACGCGCGTCAAGTCGGCGTTCGGTTGCTGAGGCGGCAGAAGCGGATGCACGAGTCCGCCGAACCGCACGAGCGACGCGATGGAGACGGCCTTGACTTCCTCGTCCGCATCGAGCGTACCTCGGCGCCAAACCTCGACGACCTTCTCCTCGAGCCCGACTCCGCCGAGTCCCGATTCGGTAAGCGCGCTCAGAGCGCGAACGACAGCGCGACGGAACGATGGCGATTGCTTGATAATGTCGAGAGGCTGGGTTGTGGTCGTGGCGGGGAAGAAGGAGGACGAGGTGGACGCGAGAGGGTGGGTGAGGAAGAAGGATGGCGAGAGCGAGAGGTAGAGAAGCAGGCGCGAAGTCGCGAGCTGCAGTGCGGGAGGTAGGAAGGGGGCATGCGGGCAGCGGAGGAGGCGTTCGAGAGCTGTGAGCGTGCAGAGTTAGCTCTGTCGCGAAAGAAGAGCGGACGAAAGGCCGACTCACTGGCCAGCCCACGCTCCGCAATCTCGAGGTCGACATCCTCGATCGCCACCCTCCGCTGCGCCATCGACTCGCTCGGGTCGTACGTCTTCTGCCGCTTCGCCTTCCTGCTTCCTCCGTTCTTCCCATCCTCCTTACTGTGCGCGACAACAACCGGCTCTGTAGCGACTGCTCCAATGTCCTCTAGGACCGTCCTCCACACCCTCGCGAGACTCTTCTTGCCTTCCTCCGGGTCAACAGACGCGCCGAGCGCCTGCAAGACGACCGCGTAGGTAGTCGACACCGCCGGGCGCATGGGCGACCTGACAGAGTAACTCGACAGCGTCTTCGCCAGGGTCGACAGGATGACCGACGCGTGGGTCGAGAGTTGCGAGCTGACGGAAAGGGCGATTTGGGCGAGCAGCTGGCAGCCTTGGATCTGGAGGCGGGGAGTGAGGGCGAGGGTCGCTGTAAGGATAGTCGGGTCGGTGCGCTCCTTGATCGGGCTCTCAGTCGAGAAGGAGGCAAGTCGGACGCCAAGTTCGACGAGAGCGCCGACGGGGACGGGGACGGGACCGGCCTTCTCGGTTGTCGGGGTGCGGAGGACGAGGAGCAGGGCGCGGTTGAGCGATTCGAGTCGCGCGAGGGCGGAAGCGGGACTGTCGTCGGAGAGAGGTGGGAGAGCGAGAGGCGAGAGAAGATGGTTGTAGGTCACGTCTGCGAATTGCGAGATGTGAGCTGGGCTGGCAACGGTGTGACTCGCTGAGACGCACCTTCAGCAAAGATGCCCTGCGTCACATGGCTTGCAAGCTGGTCGATGCTGCCGATGAGCGCCTCGATACCCGTCCTCCACGCCTCGCGCAAGCCTTCCTTGCCCTTCGGCGCGAGAAGGTAAAGCGAGACGAACAGCTGAGCGCCTGCGTCGACGACGGCAGCAGAGCGAGAGCTGTCGGAGAGGCAGCTGATGGCGAGTGTGTGGAAGGAGGCGGAGAGGGGACGAAGAGCGGTTGGGTAGAGGGGAATAACCGAGACAATAGTCGTGATGCAGGGAAGCATGACCTGAAACGGCGAAGTCAGCGCTCTAGTCTCGCCATCAACGGAGCCTAAAAACTCACCTCACTCGTCTCCGCCGATGCAGCCTGCACCAGTCCACCGACGAGCTTCTGGACCGCCTGAGCGCCGACATTCTCCCTCGCCCACTCCGGGTGCCAGTTGCTCTTGGCGAGGATCAGCCTCGCGAGGTCGAGCGCCGCGACGAACAAGGTCGGATCAGACTGCGGCGAGGCAAGAACGGACTGGCAAGAAGAAAGGGCGGTCTTGCCGGCGGAGAGGAAGAGTGTGGTCGACGAGGTGAAGGTGTGGTGGAGGAGCTGGAAAGCGGCGGTTCGGACGGCGACGGCGTTTGATGCACTCGCCAGGGACGTCAGTCGCATCTGCCATCTGCAGAAGGATGTGTAGCGGTGTCAGCTCGTTCACTTTCGCCAGACCCTGGGAGATGGGTCGCAAGAGGAGCGCTCGTCCAACCTGGATGAGACGAAGACGGAGAGAGCTTACCGGTGCAGCAGCGGTCCATTCAGCCCCTCCTCGCCCTCGCACCACGCTACAACCCGTTGCGAGACGAGAGTGTCGAGGGTGTCGGCGAGCGCAGCTGGTACGGCATCGTTCTGAGCGAGGTGGTGCGCGAGCAGATGGTCCAGCGTGCTCGCAGCCATCGTTCTAGCACTCCCAGCACTCCCAGCGAGCTTGTCGGCGCGCGCAAAGTGAGATGTCAACGGTCGAGCTCATCTTCATCGCTCAACCTCTCACTTCGCTCTCCTCTCGCTCGCTGTGGTCTGCTAGGATGGCTACTGAGGCTACAACGACTCTTGTGGCATCCACGTCGGCCCTCGAACCGCCGGTGAACCGCGCGACCTTCGCCTCACTCGGCGTTGAACCGTTCCTCTGCAAGGCGCTCCAGGCCATGGCAATCCGCAAGCCGACCGGCGTGCAGGCTGCCTGCATTCCACAGATCCTCGCAGGTGCGTTCGTCTCCATCCGAGCCCATCAGAGCGAAACGGGGTTGCCAGGAGCTGACATCTCGCCTCTCTCATCGAAACAGGCGCCGACTGCATCGGTTCCGCTCAGACGGGTTCGGGAAAGACGATTGCGTTCGCACTGCCGATCATGCAGGCGCTCTCGCGGGATCCGTACGGCGTCTTTGGCGTCGTCCTCACCCCCACCCGGTGCGTCCCTCTCGCTATTTGAGCTGGCCTTGCAGCGTGCTGAGAAGCTCTCTTTCCGTAGAGAGCTTGCCTTCCAGATCGGCGAGCAGTTTCGCGTCCTTGGCGCATCGATGAACCTGCACTCGACCGTCATCGTCGGCGGGATGGACATGATGCACCAGGCTATCGAGCTGAGGAAGCAGCCGCACATCATCATCGCCACGCCCGGACGGCTGGTCGACTTGATGAAGAGCAATCAGGGCGAGTTCAGTTTGGGGCGTGTCAAGTTCCTCGTGTGTCGCGGTTTCGCCTCTTCACTTGTCCTTATTGCTCACGCCTTCGCTGGCAGGTTCTCGACGAAGCCGACCGTCTCCTCACGTCCACCTTCGCACCCGAACTCTCTTACATCATCGACCAGCTCCCCTCGACCCGGCAAACTCTCCTCTTCACCGCAACGCTCACCGAACCCGTCCTCGCGCTTCAGAACAAGCCGCAAACGCCCGGCAAGCCCAAGGTGTTCACGCATGTCTCGCGCGAGGTCATCACGACGCCGGCGGGCTTGACGCAGCGTTACGTATTCATCCCGAGCCAGGTCAGGGAGGTCTACCTCACCTACCTTCTCATCAACCTGTGCGCCCTCACCGGCGCGCAACCCTTACACGCCCCCGCGCCATCCAAGCCTTCCGGCAAAGGCTCGAGCTCGGCATCGAAGAAGCGCGAAGAGGCCGAAGACACCGGCCCCGTCCTGCCACAAACGATCCTCTTCGTCCCACACTGCCGCACCGCCGCCCTCCTCCACTCTCTCTTCTCCCAGCTCCCGTCTCCGATCCCCTGCACCTCCCTCCACTCGCACCTGACCCAAGCAGACCGCCTCAAGTCGCTCGCCATGTTCCGCCGCCAAGCTGTCCCGCTTCTGATCGCGACAGACGTCGGCTCGCGCGGTCTCGATATCCCCGAGGTTGCGGTCGTTGTCAACTGGGAGGTGCCACGCGTGCCGGATGACTACATTCACAGGGTTGGTAGGACTGCGCGTGCGGGGAGGAAGGGAACGGCTATCACATTCGTGACGGAGGGAGACGTCGAGTTGGTGCAGGTGCTCGAGGAGCGGATAGGTGAGTCACAGTCTGACGCGGGTTCGGTGGTCGACGTTCGAGTTGCAGCGCTGATGCCATGTGTCGTACGGTGTTTACCCACAGGTACGCAACTGCAAGAGCTCGAGCTGCCCGAAGAACCCGTTCTCGAGCTGCTCAACTCGGTATCGATGGCCAAGCGCATGGCGAACATGGTGTGCCGCTTGCCCTCGCCCCATCTCGTACCCGCTAACCTGCTCGCGTCTCGCAGGAACTGCACTCGGAAGGCTTCGGCGCGCGACAGGAGAACAACAAGAAGAAGCACGGGATAGACAAGGCGTCGCAGCAGCAGAAGAAGGGCGGGAAGGGACAGAACAAGTCGGCTCAGGCGGCGGGCAAGGGAGGAGCGGTCGGCACGGGGAAGAAGAAGGTCAAGAAGGACAGAGGAGCGGCGGCAGCGTGAGGCGACGGCCTGGGCCGTACGCGTTCTCCTTCAGATTGTTGCTACACTACTGCATTCTCCCGCAAACACTCGTTCGACGAGGTGAGTTGGTTGGACCCTCGCCTCCTCGCTTCTCTTCCTCCTTCGCCACTTTCGCTCGACTTTGCTCGCTTCGCTGGACTTGCGCCGGCTCTGCGTACATCTGCACATCACTCTCGAGCGCACCGCCACTCCCGCATCGAAGCTTGTCAACCCACGGGCCCTCCTCACCTCCTGTTCGTCTCCACTTCCTCAGCCTCATCAACTCTGCGCTCTCGCTCTCGTTCGCCTGCACGCGCGATGGGCGACGACTACCCAGCAGTAGGGACGACCTTCTCGCTCCCTCTTCCCGCCATCCTCGACTCGCTGCGCGCCGTTCGCCCCCTCCTGCTCTCACCCTCCCACGCGCCCTCATCGACAGACGAGGTCCACCTCGAACCGCGTCAGGTCGAGTTGCAGACGAGGGCACACCCGCTCGGCAAGGGTGTGACGGTCCAGTGCAAGCTGGGGTCGAGGAAGGGCGGGCGCAGGAGACCGGGCGAGAAGAGGCTGTCGGACGACGAGTTGTGCAGGTGCGTAGCGAGGCTGCTCCTTTTTCCTCGATAGGCTGCTGTGCGTCTCGCCAGGCAGACGCTCACAGTAACGGTTGACGCTCGCAGCTTCCGCCTCGTCCTGCAACTCTCCGACTCGACCGCTGACCGTTCCGCCCCCTCCTATGTCGTCACCGAGTCTCTCCCACACTCTCACTACACTCATCAGCACCAAAACACCCTCTTCCCTCGCGACTGCTTCGAGAATGACGCCCCCTCCATCACGCTCGACCCCTCCCCCTCCTCCCGCATCGACTTCGAAAACCGCCTTCTCGTCTTCCGCTCAGGCTATACCGTCCCCATTCTTCAGTCCGATATCCCCCGCACGACAGCGCACTATCGCTCCTCGAACCGTCGACGCCCCGCTGCTTCGCTCGACCACGACGAGAACTGGCGGCTTTGGGAGGATGTAGTTGGACTTGACGGCGCACGGGAGGCGAAGCGGCAGAGGAGGGATGTCGTCAGAGAGATGGGTGGGATGGGCGCGCTGAAGGCGTGGGGATGGGTCGACGGGCTTGACGAGTTTGGGGAGGGGGAGGAGGAGGAGGAGGAGGAGGAGGAGCGGCTCGCGGAAGAAGTCGCCCAGCACGGGACGGTCATGGACGAGGCGAGTGGCCCGATCGGTACTACTGAGGGTCGAGTGGACGTGGCACGTTCGATCGGCGAAGAAGTCGGGAACGAGCAAGACGCTGGCGATGAAGGCGAGCAGAACGGCGTTGCCTCAGCCTCTCCCTCGCCGCCTCCCTCCCTTCCTCCCCAAGGTCAACAAGCATCGTCGGGAATCAGCAAGAGGAGGCGTTCGAGGACAACCGCCTCGCCCGCCTGGCTGCCTGGCATCGCTCGCAGCTCCCGCCACGCCACTCGCCGCGTCGCCTCTGTCGAAATCCCGGAGGCCACGGATACTGAGCGCAACGTCTACAGCGGGATAGCGGCGGAACAGCAGGAGCAGATCGACGAGATGGACGAAGCGATGCGACAGGACGAGGAGGCGCTCGACAAACTCGCTGCAGACGTCGCAGCTTTCCTCATCCGCCCGCAAAGGATGCAAATTATGTCTCGATCTACCACGCTCACCGACATCGCAGCTCCTTCATCCTTGACGCCTTTCACGCCTCCTCCGCGCAACTTCCGCCCTGCTTCGCCCACATCGCCGACCGACTCTGCCGTCACCGCCTCGTCGCCCGCCGGCTCGTACTTCTCACCTTGCGGAGAACGCGACACGTCGCTGTCGAGCGTCGAGACGCCGACTCGAACGTTTGCGCGGCCGCGCGCTCGCAGCGTTCGTTTCGCCGACGAGGAAGAGGCGAAGCAGGTTCGCGCGGCGGTGAGTGCGCCGGCGAGCGTAATGATGGAGTGCAAGCACGAAGAGAAGCAGGAGTTGGTGTCGGACGACGTCGACAAGGAGCGGGAGCTCGACAAGGAGCGGGAGCAGCAGGCGCTTCAGGGGCTCCTCGGTCTCTCTGGCTGGCGACCGCAGCTGTCGCATCCTTCGAGCGACGTTATCCAGCAGTCGGCAACAGCGGCGCCTGTCGCTCAAGCGCCACCCCAGCCAGCCGTCTCGCACGCTCTTCCCGAAGGCAACGGCGCGACCGCCGCCTCGCAAATCCCTGCCGGCCCGTCTCCCTCGGCGACCTCAGCCCTCGCCTTCCGCCCTCGCGTCTCCTCAAAAGCCGCAGCTCGTCGACTAATGCCTGCGTCTGCACTCTTCATCCCCAGCACACGCAAGAGCGCGCTGACCTTCTCAAGTCGCGCTTCGAAGCCATTCACGCCTCTCACGGTGCAAGCCAGCGGTGCTGCGAGGGCCGTGGCAGTTGCGCAAGCGAGTGCGCGAGAGTGGGAGGGGCGGCAGCAGCAGCAGGGTGCGAGCGGAGGCGGAAGGGTTGGGGGGTCGACGTTGTCCGAGCAAGAGGAGATGGCGCACGCAGAGGCTTTCAAGGAACGCTTGTGGAGAAGCGGCGGAGACTTTGAAGGGGGAAGGCTCGATTCGTGCGCTCAACTCTACCTCGTGAGCGCGTGAAGCTGACCTTCGCCCGCTCTGCAGGCTGTACTCGGCTACTACGCTCGCGAAGAAGCTCGAGCAGATCCGTACCGTCACGCCTTTCGCGACTCCCTCGATCTTCCGCACTCCGTCAAGCGCGGTCTACCTCTCCCTCCTCAGCACGCCGCACCGTCCTTCTCGCGCTCGCCTCCCCAGCCTTCAGTCTCTCCCGACTTTCGACACTCCGCCCGACGTCCTCGCTCTCTTCAACGACAAGCGCGTTCGTCTCGCTCTCGAGTACCTCTACGGCCGGAGCGTGTCGACGAATGAGATGGCTTTCCTCGAGCGGCGGGAGAAGGCGGTCTGGGCGCTGGCGAGGACGATGGCGGCTGTGGCGGACGTCAACGAGCGTGCGATGAGGGTGCGAAGTAGCGGCATCGAGCACAACGAGCCGAAGTGGCAGGCTCGCGGATAACGGCCCGGCACTCGTTGCAGCGCACTAATAGGAAGAGGGCAAAGGGCGATGAATAGTAGGAAGAGGGCAAAGGCGATGGATAAAGAATTGATGGGTGATGACGGACAGTACGTAGCGCGGGAGAGAACGGGAAATCGAGAATATACGAAAGGGTGGCAGGCGCGATCGCACCTCCTCGTTCTATCCGCCGCGGGCTCGCTCCAGATGCATCTTGTCTTCCTCACAGACTCTTGCCGCCTCCTCCTCATGCTAAACTCGCTCCTACGCTTCGCTCGTCCTGCCAGACCAACCGCCTTCGAGTCGAAGCCTCAGGCGCGCGAGGTAGCGACAGTTGTCGATGCCGTGATCGGTTGGCGCAGCGCGTCCGAGGTCGAGCAGTCGGAAGACGAACTTGCCTTGATCGTCGAGGCGATAGACAACGTTGCCGGGGACCAGGTCTCGCTGGCAAAGCCCGGCGTCGTGGAGGCGAAGGTAAAGCGATTCAATCGAGAGCCTGTCAATGATTCTGTCAGCGCGAAGTCCTGCCGTCGTCCGAAGTTCTTGTGAAAATCTCACCTGTGCGCCACCGAGAGTCCGTCGAAAGTGCTCAAGGGGTCGCCCTCGTCCGTCAAGAGCAGCAGTCCGGCCGGCCGACCCAGCGGGCACGACTCGGGGTCGAAGACGTAGGCGCCGACCAGCACAGGCGTGACGCCCTCGAGCCCGCCGCCAATCAAAGCGTAGTTCTTCCGTTCGCGGACGAGCTGCTCGTACGCGCCTAGCTCGTCGCCGGAGAGTTTGGCGAGGACGGGCACGTCTTCTTCGCTCGTCGGCAGCTTAAGGTAGGTGGCCCAAACGGCGCTCTGGCTGCCGCCTGCGACAGGAGCGCTCGAGAGACGTAAGCTGGGCGCGTGCGAAGTACGGGGCGATTCTGGGTACAGCTGAGGGGTGGCGAAGCCGTGCGAGTCGAAGGAGGGCGGATGGAGGTCGAGGGGGAGGGCGAAACCGAGGTCCCACCATTTTCCTCCGCGATCGTAGCCGACGCGAATAATTGTGTTGGTCTGTCAAGTACGAATGTCAACAAGAAGCACCGCAAGGAGAGGAAGAGGACACGTACCTTGATATCTTGCGCAGTAACAAGTGCTCGTACAGGCCCGGCTTGTGCGGTTGCAGAGTCGACCTCACCGCTGAACAGGTGAGCCTGTAGACACTCGTCTGACTCGTTCGAAGTGTGCGAGCTGGTCGGCTTGAGTTCGGGCGAGCTGGCAGAGATGGACGTGGCGACAGTGAGCTGTGAGTGGCGAGAGCCGGAGAGTACGGCATTGGCGTCTGCATCGCGGACCTCGACCACCGCGTCCTTCGGTCTGTCTCCGCCCTCCTGCTTGCTCCCAGTTGCTTGACCCTCCTTGTCCTCCTCTTCAGCATAGGGCGTGCCGGTCGTTCCGCACGCGGGTAGCAGACCCAGCTCCCTCGCCTGAACGAGCCCGAGTTCCGACTCGAGACACTCGTCGACCGGAAGAATGAGGCCAACGCCTTGGTCCCCGTAGACTTCCTCGTAGGTGACGCGCAGTATGCGCTTTTGCTGGGAGACGCGAAGCATTAGTCAAGTCGAGAGACGAGGATTTGGTCTCACCTTGACGTCCGAGATCTCCGCCAAGTCCACTCCCACCGCCGAACTTGGAGCTTGCGAGCGGTCCTGACTGACTGAAGGAGCCGTTGACGGCGTAGCGGGCGTAGGAGCACGGGAGATGAGGGGCGGAGTAGTGGCTGATTCAGGAGAAGGAGGCGAGATGGCATTGTCTCCTTGCACTCCCTCGCAGGCTCCGTCGCCGGACATCGTCATCTGAGCGAAGAATGCGGGACTGGCGAGCGAGGAAACAAGGCGATTGACGTTGTCGACTGGGAGGCTCGGGTAGAATCAGAGTGCGAAGGAAAGGAGAAGGCGCCTGGTGCCTTGTAGCTGTGATGCTATTCGAGGTCGCGGTGGGAAGGGAAGGAGAAGGAGGGCAAAGAAGGAGGAGGGGAGGCAGCAGGTAACGGTCGAGCGTCTCGTAGGGAGACGCGCTGTCCGCGAGTGTCTGAAACAACTCTGGCGAGTTGGACAGCCTGCCTGAGCTCGACTTTGGGCGAAGTCGCGGTTCGGATGAGGAGAGCGATGAGGTCGAGGGAAACGCGACAAGAGCGTGCGGGCTGGTCTGTTCAGCTTCACGGTCTAGCAGGACAGTTTCTGAGCCTGTAGCAGTACGCTCGAGCCTTTCTGAGTGAGCAAGTGACGGGTCGATGGTCAAGAGTTCCTCGTTGAACCTGAACCGCTCACATCTCGCTCACGACCTCGCTCTGAGACTGTCTAGACATGCTAGCACGCACTCCAAGGACCCTCGCGACGCCCTCAGCGTGGCGTATCATCGCCCGCGCGCACTCGTCGCACGCTGCTCCCCCTTCCTTCGCCCCCTCGGGCGTCACGTCCGCCGACACCGAGATCCCGTACGGCGATCCTGCGTGCGCTTCATCTGCCTACTTGCCGCAGAAGGCCGGCGCACGGACGCGGACAGAGGAGGAGAAGCGCGCGGTGACGGAGACGCCCGAGTTGACGCCTCAGCAGCGAGACGTCCTCGAGAAGATCATCCGGGTGGACCAGGCGGGCGAGCTGGGCGCCAACTACATCTACTACGGTCAGAAGGCGGTGTTTGCGGCGGGATCGGACAAGCGGACGACGGGAATCGTACAGGTGCGTTTCGAGGGAACCTGCGGATCTCGGGGCTTTGCGCTGTTTTGACAGCAGCGGAGCTTTTCGTTGATTGATGTAAATCATTCCGAATGTACAGGCCATGTGGGACGGCGAGAAGAAGCACATTGCGGCGTTCGACAAGCTCATTACGCAGCACAACGTCCGACCAACGGCGCTGTACCCGGTGTGGAAGGCCATGGCGTTCGGTCTCGGTGCAGGAACGGCGTTGATGGGCAAGAGGGCGGCAATGGCGTGCACGGAAGCGGTCGAGACTGTCATTGGCGAGCACTACGACGAGTGCGTCCGCGTCTTTCCCACTTTCCGGTCCTTTTTGACCGCGGCTGACTCCCTCGCTCCGCAGGCAACTCAAACAGCTCAAGGTCGACTTCCCCGACCACCCCTCCATCCCCCTGCTGGAGAAGATCCTCACCGAGTTCCGCGACGACGAACTCGAGCACCTCGACACGGCCGTCGCGAACGAGTCGCAGCAGGCGCCGGCGTATGCGCTGTTGAGTGCGGTCATTGCGGGTGGATGTCGCTGGGCGATCAAGACGACGGAGAAGATCTGAGGCGGCGCGAGTTTGAGGAGGACGAGGAGGATAGATGCGCAGTCGCAACCTGTAGCTTTCCTGTTGTGCGCAATCACTATTGAGCATTCCAACGAGTCTAGAGAAGCGCTCTTCTGCACCTCTACACATCCTTCGCTGCTGCTCGACCTTGCCCTCTTCGCTCGCTTTGTTCTTCGCGCCCACCACGACACGCTCACACCGCTGCGTGTGGTTCGCTTGCTGCTAGCGTTACTCTTCAGTGCACACGACCGCTTTCGCGCCTCTGCATTCCGCCGCAACCCCTTGCTCGACCTCCTCACCTCCTCATCAGTTCTCCCCACCCACGACCGTTCACCCTCACCAAACAAGCTGCGGACCCAGCCCAGCATGTCGACCCTGCACGGCATGAGTTACGAACTGCAGAGCCTGGAGGACCAGGTGCAGAACAAGCGCGAGTGGAAGTACGAGATGCGGCGCGAGGCGCAGGAGATCTTGCCGGGTGCGTCCTGCGCTTCTCGAGGCGTGCGAGGGGAGACTGACGGAATGAGGGTGACAGGACTGTTCGTCGGGCCCTTTCAGCCGAGCTGGAAGCTGGAGGTTCTACAGTCGCTCGGGATTACCCACATCCTGTGTATCGCCGAGACTCGCGAGCAGTGCGTTCCTGCCTTCCTTCCTACGCTCGAGAACATGCTGACAATCTTGCGCAGACACATTCTCAAACCGAAGTTTCCGGAGCACTTTGTCTACCTCATCCAGGACATCCGCGATGCCGACGACCAGAACCTGATCCGCATCTTCCCCCAGTGCGCCTCGCCTCTCCTTCCACATCTCTTCAGAACTGACGAGAGGCGTGCGCAGAACCTACAACTTCATTGACGGCGCGCTTGCGGCTGGAGGACGGGTTCTCGTGCATTGCGGAGACGGCATCTCTCGCTCGCCAGCGATAGTGTGCGTCTGAAACACTGTCTTTCGCTCCAAAAGATCCAGCTGACGTCGGATACGTGCGCAGGACCGCCTATGTCATGCTCAAGACTGGCTTGACCCACGAAGACGCGTTTACGTTCGTCCAGGCGAGGAGGTTCTGCGTTGCGCCGAGGACAGAGTTCGTACACCAGCTCGAGGTGAGTGTAACAGCCTCTGCATCGACTGAGAGGACCGTTCGCTCACCAGTTGCGCTTGCAGGCCTACCGCCCGATCATCATGGCTTCGCAGGCTGTCGCGGCAGATAAGAACGCGCAAGCGGGTCAGCGAGTGCGACGGCGTGGACGGGACGACGATGATGACGAGGAGGGCGATGTGAGCATGAGCGGCGGAGGCGGGAACGGCATGTGCGTGCAGTGCCTCCCTTTCGCTTGCGCCAGCTTCGACAAACTGACCACTGGCCTGTCTTTCCCTCTTCTAGGCAGATGGACGCCGACATGGCCCAGCGTGTTCCTTCCGCGCCCGTCTGGACCGGCCCGCAAGCTTGAGCAATGCCTCAACCCCCCGTCCTTCGTCCTTTCCTCCACGCAACCTCGCTCGCATCGCACACTCGATACCCCTCGCCTCTCTCTCTTCGCTGCACACATGTCTAACGTCACTGCTGCTCGTTGCATCGTACATACCCGCTTCCTCTCCGTCTTTGCGCGTAGGAAATGTCAATACCCTTCCCCCCCTCCTTCGCGGATCGCTCGCTGGCGAGAGGGTCCGCTTTCCGTCCACCTCGAGCATGTTCGAGCGCCGTTGTGAGCCTACAAAAGCTAATTACCTTTGCTATCAGACCGAGCCTTTGCCAACCCCACCTCGGTGACGTCGCCTTTCGCAACTTTCTCGACGCTCTCTCTCGCTCGCTTCTCCCTCCTTTGACCTGCTTCTACCACCTAGCAACACAAATCGACGCAAGAATGTACCGCACCGCCCTCCCCACCCTCCGCACCGTCGCGTACGCCCAGCGCCGCACCTTCCTCGCGACCCGCCCGGCTTGCGACTTGAAGGACGCCGCGCAGGCGCTCAACAAGAAGGTTGGCGAGAAGCTCGCGTCCGGTATCGAGACGGTCGAGCAGACTACCGAGTCGGCGAAGCAGTCGGCGAAGGCCGTGTGTCCTTTCGCCTCTTCCTCTTGTGTGGACTCGCTCACCTCGCTTTCGTTACCGCAGGCCACTAGCGACGCTACTGCCGAGGCGAAGAAGCTGGGAGCCGACGCGCAGGCCAAGGGCGAGAAGGCTGCGGCAGACGTCAAGGCGGAAGGTCGCAAGCTCGAGGCGGAGGCGAAGAAGTGAAGGGGAGGAAGAGGGGTATCCGTCGTATCTTAACGAATCAACTGCAGTACCAAGTTGTTCAAAGGGACAGGTCTGCGCAGTACTACAACAATACGAGAGGAAGAGGAAGACGGGAAAGGGAATTCAACAGCAGCTTCACACATCCACCCTAACCGCCGCCCGAGCAGACCTCCTCCGCTCCTGCACGAGCTTCTCCTTCAACTCATTCACCGCAGCAATCTTGTCCTCCATCGCTCGCCGGGCGTCCTCGACAGGTCGCACGTCGAAGTCGTCGTCCTCCTCGTCCGGCGCGGAGAGCGAAGCGAGCAAGGATGCGGCGACGAGTTGATCGCGCTTCGTGACAGGCTGGATGGGAGAGAGGGAGGAGAGCGTGGCGTCGGCCGAGGCGAGAGAGGGGAAGGCGGAGGTGCCGAGGTAGGCTGGGCCGGAGAGGAAGCGGACCTGTGGGAGCAAGCGAGGTAAGCATCGCGGTCGAGCGTGCACACGGAGAAACCGCAGCGTACGCCGAAGGGTAGAGACGCAGGGACGGATGCGCCGCTGAGGTGCGGAAAGATGGGCTCGCCAGTCGCTTGGTCGGGCGTGTCGCCTGTGCGCGTTCCAGTTAGCCAGAGCTGTGCGGATGAAGGAGAAGCCGAGCGCACCCGTCCATAAAAAGCCGCTTGTCTGGCTTCGATGCAGCGAAAGTGCGAGATCGCGACAGTCGCTGTACAGGACCGTTCGACAGCCGTCCATGAGCGAGATCTGCGGGGCGGGGAATCGTCAGCATCGAAACGACAGCTCACCAGCTCGTTACGCACCTGAAGCTGAAAGTCCTGCAGGATCTTGATGAGCGCAGGCTTCAGGCCCGGGATCTCGAGGCCGTTCTTGATGCGGCGGATGAGGCGGATCGGGTCAATCTCGGCGCCAACGTTCTCGAGCAAGCCGCGAATGAAGCCTGAGAGACTGCTGTCAGCGTTGCTTGCGCCTGAGAATGCTTGAACACGCACGAGGCTTGTTCTCCGAGTATTTGAGCAGGTCTTCCCAGAGGTCGTTGTCATTCTGCTCCTTGGCGAACTCGATGGCCTGCGCAGGACACAGTGAGCTTGGCTTCTGCTGGCACGGAATCTTGTTACGCACCCGCTCGACATCGCCAAGCCGCTCGATAATGAGGTTGAGCGCCCGCTTGTTGTCGCCCATCCGGCCGAGGAGGAAGACCATCTCGGGCACGAGGTCGCGGCTGTCGCAGATCTTGTACGCGCGCTCGAGGCTGTAGTAGTTGCTGGCGCGGAGGAAGTCCATGAGCTTCTTCTGGTCGTACTCGGCGTAGAGGTCCACCTGGCGAGACGCGAACGGTCAGCAGCGAAGGAGAAAGGCAGAGAACGTTCGGAGCGCACCTGTAGATCAGAGTAGTCGAATGCAAGATGCGGATCCTTGTCGAAGAGGGCATCGAGGTACATGTAGAGGTATTTGCGGGAATCCTGCAGTTGCGAGATGACGCGGGGTATCTGCGTGCGGCGAGCGAGGTCAGGAGGGTCTGCGAGCAGACGAGAAGCCCGCAACTGACCGGAATGGAATGGGTATGATCGACGAGCAGCTCAATGGCTGTGCCGTGACGCGATTCGGACTCGAGCGCCTTCGCGTTCTTGCGCAGGTCCTCATCGAACTCGATGAGCTGGAGCGCCTGGTCCTGGATGTCGGTGAAGAGGTTGTTGTCGCGGATGAGGGTGAAGACATGCGGGTCGCGCAGCTTGAGGAAGTAAGGAAGGGCTTTGCCGGGTTGTCGGTTCAAGATGTAGCTGCGGAGGCGTCTGTCAGCCTAGTCAACGTTGAGCGAAATCAGCAGCACGCACAGCTCGGTCAGCGCCTGCATCAACACATGCGACTCGGACGCCCGCGTCCTGTCGAGCTGGTTCTTGACGGCGAGGATGACGGCCGAGACGTCGTAGATCTCGTGCGGCCAGGCGTGTATCGTTCGCAGGAGGGCCTAGAGAAGACAGCAATCAGAAACGTGGGTGCACAAGCATGAACGAAAGACGCACCTGTTCGTCATGCCGCAGGTAGTGCGCCAAGATCATCTCGTAGACGAGCCGGCTGAGTTGAGGGTCGTGCGTGGGGACGTAAGGGATGATCGTCTGCGGAGTTTGTCTGCGTCAGTGCGTATCTGACGAAGCGAAATGGGGAAACACACCTCGAGATGGCCTTTCTCGGCGAAGAGGAAGACCCAGTCCTCCCACAGCTTCGCGTTGATGCCCAAGATCTTCGGACAAGAAGCGGCGGCCTTGTCATACTCACCTGCAGGATAATCGAGTCAGCACGATGGGGACAGACGGGAGGGAACTGAGACTCACCCTCCTCGACCAAGAACTCGAGATACTTCTTGCCGACGTCCGTCACGTCAAAGCCGCCCACCGTGCCGAGTCCAGACTTCTCCAAAGCATGCAGCGCCTCCTCGTACCGCTGCATCTCGATCAGCCAGACGATGTGGTCGGACTCGTCTCGGGTCTGGGCGACGACGATATCTTCCGGCGAGACGACAAGAAAGCTTTGTCCGTCGCCGGAGGGACACAAGCTGTAGTCCCGGCATTGGAAGCGGTCGTAGTTGCGCAGGCTGATGGCGTCGGACGAGAGCTCCTCTCCGTCAGGCGAGATAATGCGAAGTTCGGGTCGGCTGCCGGCTTTTCGGCGTTGTGTGCTCAAGTCCTCCGCCTCATCGTCATCGTCTTCTTCGGTCGTGTAGGCGAGGACGAGCAAGTCGCCGTTCTTGCCGTACGGAGCGATGCCGGAGATCATGCAGTCGACCTGAAAGATGGCCGACACCTCGACGTACAGCTCCGTCGCGCTTGGCAAGCCCGGCACAGCGCGCTTCGACTCACGCTCCTTGACGACCGCGACCTTGATGACGTCCGCCCAGGCGATGAGCAAGGTGCGGTCGTCTCGCCATCGCAGGTTGCACTTGAAGAGGTCGGCGCGCGGGCTATCCTCGGCACGGCTGATGAAAGTGATCCGCTGACTCGTCGCCGTGTCGAAGATTCGCACGCCCGCGTCGCTCGCCCAGGCGATGAACGTCCCGCGCCATTCGACAGCCCAGATCGGCCCTTCGCCAGAGTGAAGCGTCACGTCCTTCTGTCCCAGCCAGCCTTTCTCCGACAAGATGAGGTTGCCGGCCATTCCGCCCGAGACGAACTGGCGAGTATTGCGCTTGCCGAAGAAGGGTTCGAGGGCGACGCAGCGCATCGGTCGTTGCATGTCGAAAACGTGCGCTTCGGAAGTCGTGAGCGACTGGATGGCGACACGACCTGCGCAAAAACAGGTCAGGGCGAGTTCCGCAAAAGGGCAAGCAAGCCTTGCGTACCATCCATGGAAGCGCTTGCGACGAACTCGCAGGTCGAGTCGATGCTAAGGTCATTGATCACGGCGGAGTGAGGGCGGAAGCGCTTGACGAGCTTCCCTTCAGGCGACAGGACGAAGAGAGCGCCGTTGTGCGTGCCGAGGATCTGCAAGAAAGGATAATCAGGACAAGCGAGACGGCGAAAAGCGAGGCGCACGCACGGTGTACTTGCTGCAGACCGCTATTGCGCTCGCCGTGTCCTTCGACAGAATGTCCGTCGTCGAGCCACCTAGTCGAGCGTACTTGAGTGTCGGCTCGTCGTCATCTTCGTCTCCCTCGCCGTCGTCCTCCTCGGAGTCTGCCTCTTCCTCCGCATCCTCTTCCCGCTCTTCCGCCCGCTCCTCCTCGTTCTCCACACCTTCGCGCAAGCCATCTCGTCTCCGTTTCTCCAGCCGTGGAGATGGAGGCGGTCGCTCTTCCTCCATTTCTTCCGGTGAAGGTGTCGACCCATCCTCTTCCAGCTCCTCTTCTGCCTCCTCACCCTCGTCTTCCTCAGACTCGGAGCTGCTCTCTTCCTCCGCCCCTCGATCCCCCTCCCGTTTCCGTCTCGCATCCGTACTCCCCCCGCTCGTCACCGAATGCAACAGCCCCTCCGTACTCGGTACAACATCCGCCGCTCGTTGCTTGCCCTTGCCATTTGTCGCACCATTCCCATTGGGCACGTCGAGCATGGAGGGCAGGGCGGACGTCGAGGGCGGAGAGACGGCGGAGAGGACTGATGAGGCTGGGCGAGGGGGAGAGAGCGGAGAGGTGCCGAGTGAGCGAATCGAAGAGGCTCGTGAGGATGCTGGCATCGCATCTGAGCGCGTTTGGCGAGATTTCAAGCGAGCGAGCGAGGTGGTCGAGGTCAAGCGGTGAGCGGTCGAGGAGGTGGGGCAAGTCGCTTCTCTCGAACAGCAGCTTCCGAGCCAGTTTTTGCAGCGCAGCGTCCGTGGTAATACACAAGTGAATGGCCGAAACCAGCCGCAGCGAAGGGGTCCCCTCAACCCTCCTATGACCCACGGATGGTGTACTTCTCGCGCTGGACCTCCGGGTTGAACAGCTGCGAAGAAGACGGCGTCAGTGATATGTTCCAAGTGAGAGAAAGTGCACAGGAAAGGACGAACCTCCCACCGCGACGCCGGGAAGATATCTGCGGGTTAGAAGGAAAGATCCAGTTGTCGACGCCGGAAGACACGAGAGAGAGCACCAAACGCACGCTTGTTCCGGTTGTACCAGCTACGCTCAATCACCTTTCCCGCATGAGACTGCACGAAGAGAGACTGATCAGCTATCCCCGAAAAGATAGAGGGCAACGAGCAGAACGCACCTCGTCCTTCTCGATCTTGGCGTCGTGCGTCAATCGGATGTCGTCGTGCACGTCAAAGTTGAACATCGGGCCCGACTTGCCGCGATATTTGTTGACGATAAAGTCGTCTGCGACGGAAAGGAGGAATCAGTTCTAGCTTGAGAGGGCGTTTGGAGAAGGACAGTGACGACGAACAAAAGGTGTAGTGCTGCATGTGACAACGAGAGTCAGCAAACAACTGAACCTTCGCAAGGGAGGAAGCGAACGCACATGCGGAATGATCAGATCCTCCTTGATGTACATGAGGTTGTCGACGGAAACGCTGCGCAACTCTGGGAACTGCTGCCGACATTTGTCGAGGAACTGCGCGATTGTGTCGCCCTTCTTGCACTGCATAGGCGCCAGCCGCTCGTCAGTCTCGCTCGTCCATCTCAGGCCTCAGCGAAACGGCCAGCAGTATCGCCTAACGCACCGAAACGACCTTCCGATGCCCACTCCCGTCCCAGTAGGAATACGTGATCTCGATCGGCTCCTGCTTCATGTCCTCCTGCATCTTCAACCACTTCTTGCGCAACTCGTCGCGCTCTTTCCGCTCGGCTTCTTCGCGCTCGCGGTCGGGGAGGAAGTGCGTGTCGACGGTTGGGTTCTTGCCGAGTTTCGGCTTCTTCGAGGGCGGTTCAGCTGGATGTAAGGAACGGTCAGCGGCAGAAGCGAACGCAGAAGCAGATTCGTACGCACCCTCGTCCCCATTGGGCGAGTCTCCCTTCTTCGGCTTGAACGACTCGGTCTCCTCCTCATCGCCATCGTCGCCAGCGAACGACAGCTTGACCTTGCCCTTTTCCTTCTTCTTCTTCTTGACCTTGCGCTCCTCTTCTCTGCCGGCGCCTCACCCATCTCGTCAGTCTCCCCACAAAGCGAGCCTTTTTTGGCACGGAGGTTTGTACTCACTTGACCTCCGCCGCACCAGCAGCCTCCTTCCTCGCCTGCTCCTCGAGCTTCTCGCGCGTCTCCTTGAACTCGGACAGCTGGACGAGACCGTACGTCGACTTCTTCAGCGTCTCCTGCACGTCCTCCGTCTTGCCGACGAAGCGGTCCGAGCCAGTACGGTTGCGAGTCGCAGTCAGGTCCTCCTTCTGCGCCGCGAAGCCGTCCTGTCGAGAGCGAGCGAACAATGTCAGCCGGCGTCTCGAGACGGATGTGAAGGGTCAGTGGACGCACCATCATCTCCTTGCGCTTCTTCTCGAGCTTGGCTGCGGAGCGTAACACGGCGCATACGAGTGTCAGAACGGTGGTGAAGAGAAGTGTCGCGCACAGCGACGACGAGAGCTCACCGATGCGCATCGCCTCCTGAGCCGACATTTTCGATAGCTGCGAGTCTGTCTAGCACACGAACGAAGCAGCACGAGCGAGTGGAAGCGAGTTGAGCGAGCTGGTCGAGGCCAAAGGAACGTCTCCGGTGTTGGCTCCTCCTCGCCCTGCTCACCCCGCTCGACTGACGCACTTGCTGCTGTTCTCGCTACCACCACCGCACTCGCAGACACAGACTACCCCCGGCCACACAGCACGCAATGGCGAGTCGACGCCGTCCTCGCTCCATCAGCCACCTCATCTCGCTCAAGGCCCCACTCGCGCGCACACGCACTGACACGCTCTCTGACGCGACACGCAGGGCGACTCGAGCTACGACTACCTCTTCAAGGTGCGCTCCCGCTGTCCCGACTCGCGTAGACGCCTTGTCGGGCTTGTGCTGATCGCGCTCTCCCCTCTCTCTTCCTGCGCGCGTCGGATACAGGTCGTCCTCATCGGAGACTCGGGCGTAGGAAAGAGGTGCGTCGCCATTGCACTCACCCGCTCGTGCAGACCGCGCTGACCCTGCTCCGTCTCTCGCGCAGTAACCGTACGTCCGCACCCATCCCGTCCCTCTCCCGGCTCCCGCACCCTCTGAACCTCGTCCGTCCGGCACACGCGCAGTTCTCTCGCGGTTCACCCGCAACGAGTTCAACTTGGAGAGCAAGTCGACTATCGGCGTCGAGTTTGCGACGCGGTCTATCCAGGTCGAGGGGAAGACGATCAAGGCGCAGATTTGGGACACGGGTGCGTTTCGTCCGTTGGCTGGGGCTGCTTACTGCCCGTCTGTCCGCTGCACACTGGCAGTGAAGACGTGCTCCAACCCGCATACCGTCATCTGACCGCTTCGTTCGCGCTCCGTAGCTGGCCAGGAGCGATACCGCGCAATCACCTCTGCGTGCGTCTCCCCTCCTTCTCCTTCTCGCGACGCACGTCTGATACACTGGCGCGCACAGCTACTACCGCGGCGCAGTCGGCGCCCTCCTCGTCTACGACATCGCCAAGCACGCGACGTACGTCAACGTCTTGCGCTGGCTCAAGGAGCTGCGCGACCACGCCGACTCGAACATCGTCATCATGCTCGTCGGGAACAAGAGCGATTTGAGGCACCTCAGGGCGGTCCCGACGGATGAGGCCAAGCTGTTTGCGCAGGAGAACGGGTTGAGCTTGTGGGTCCCGCGCGTCCTCCACCGTTTGCTTTGGAGTGTTTGCTAACTTTTGAACCGTACCCAGCATCGAGACTTCCGCACTCGACGCATCCAACGTCGAATCCGCATTCCAAACCATCCTCACCGGTGCGCTCCCGCTCCTCGTCCTGTATTCCTCGACCATCGGACGCTAACGCTGCTCGACGCCCGCAGAGATCTACAAGATCGTCTCGCAGAAGCAGCTCGAAGCAGACCCCATCTCGTCGCAACGTCCCGGCGCAGGCTCGACGATCGAGATTGCCCCCAGCGCGAACGACGGCGGCCAGAACCCGAGCGGCAAGTGCTGCTGAAGCAGGGCGGAGCTGGTCTCCCTTTTTCCCCTCGGTGCGGAGCGGTAGAAACGAGTTTGCGTGGTTGCAGCAGGTTCAGAGCGGTTCTCCTCCCTTTTGTACGGTCTATCGGGTTCACACACATACTCTCTCCTCGAGCGCATAAGACCCCCTTTCGCGTTTTCCTCGTTCGTGTGCCATGTCAAGCCCCTCTCGCAGTTGTCCTCTCCCGTCCAGCGAGTGAGCGGCACACCGCGAGAGCGGGATACGGCGGCGGGTGCGCTCCAGCCAGCTTCTCGCGGTTGGCCGTCGCGAGCAAGAGCAATCGCCTTGCCGTGTCGCTTGTCCCCCGCCGTGAGATTGTCCTCGTCGCACGAAAGGCCTGCCGTCGAAAAGTTGGGGAACCGCGGTCTTCGTTTTTCTCGCCCGCTCACCGCGAGGGCGGCGAGGCGAGCGATTTGCAACCCGCACGCGAGATGCAGCCGGATTCCGCTCGATTGGAGAAGCAAGGAAAAGCCCGCGCCCGCAAGGTCGGAGCTGGGAGGAGAATGTTTGCTCCCGGCGAACTTTGCGAGCGAGCAGGTGGCGCACGGCTGAAGAGGAGGTGAGATTGGGTGCGTGCATTGCGTGTGAAGCAAATGCATTGCGTGCAGTTCAGGCCGACTGGCGTTATCGCGCTCCGCAAGGGAGGAGGCGCAGGAGCTGGGGAAGCTGGCGTCAAGGCAAAGTTCGGCTGGGGAAGCATGCTGCTCCTGGTGGTCGCCAGCAGGGAGTGAATGGTATCGAGCGGCGGGAGACCGTGTTGCCGTGGGGTCGCGGGAGTGAAGCAGCGTGGTGGTGGCAGAGTTTCTTGGCGGGGATGGCAAAATCGGGTGTCTGGAACACTCTTGCAGAGCGTGTCCGAGTGGGTTGGCGAGCGGGGAGAAGCCGCGCGGTGTGGCTGCTGGCTCGGACAGCTTTGTGCCGCGCAAACGCTTTTCTCGCCTCGCTTGCAACGGCTCTCTCCTCCTTCTTTCCTCTGTGTGTCCCGTGTGCTTATCCTCCGCCTTTCACTCACTCACCGCCAGCCAGCCCAGAGCCACCCGCCTGCCACCGTGCGTTGACCCCTCTCCGAACCTTCGCAAGCTTGCCCGCCGCCGCTCGCCACCACCCTCGCTCTCCGCCTTTTCGCGCCCTGCCCGCCAGACTCGCTCCAGAACGTCAAACAGGCGACGCCACCGTTGTCGGCAGCCGAGCGAACGCTGACCCCTTGCCACCCACCTCTCGTCCTTTCCTCCTTCTCCCCCGTCGCCGTCCTCGTCATCCCTCCTCCCTCGCGCTCGCCGACTGCAGATGTCCGGCTCCGACCCTACCGAGGCCAGTTTCGAGGCCCTCTCCCACCGCCTCGACGAGAACTCGCGCGCAAAGAACGGCAAGGACGACGACGGTTTCGTCTTTGAGGAGAAGCGCGCGCCGTCCCAGACCACCGGCGACGATGAGGAGTACCCCGACGCGCCCACCGAGGAGGAGAAGATGACCCTGAGGCGTGTCGCTGGCCCCATCAACATCGCGTCCTTCCTCATCGGCTTCATCGAGCTCGCCGAGCGCTTCTCCTACTGTGCGTCGTCCGCGCTGTCCACGACGCAAGCCGGACACTGACCTGCTTGTCCTCGCGCAGACGGTTCGACCCAGGTCTTCACCAACTTTATCCAGCAGCCTCTCCCCGAGGGTTCGACCACTGGCTCGTCGCACGCTGGCCAGACGTCCGGCGCTCTCGGCATGGGCCAGCAGGCGTCGACCGGTCTGACGACGTTCAACCAGTTCTGGGTCTACACGATGCCCCTCTTCGGTGCCTACATCGCCGACACCTACCTCGGCCGCTTCAACACCATCGCCTGGGCCATCCTCATCTGCTTGATCGGCCACGTCCTCCTCGTCGTCTCCGCCCTCCCCTCCGTCATTGCCCACCCCAACTCTGCCATCGGCGTCTTCGCCGTTGCCATCATCATTATGGGCGTCGGAACTGGCTTCTTCAAGTCCAACATCTCGCCCCTCATCGCTGAGCAGGTCGCTTCGCACCGCCTCTACGTCAAGACGCTCAAGAGCGGCGAGCGCGTCCTTGTCGACCCGGCAGCGACCACTGCGCGCATGTACAACTGGTTCTGTGAGTTCTCCGCGTTCGACCTCGCTCTTTTCGAGTTCCTACAGGCTGACTTCTTCCTCCGCGCAGACCTCCTTATCAACGTCGGTGCCCTCGCTGGACAGCTCGGCATGGTCTACGCCGAGAAGCGCGTCGGCTTCTGGCTCGCCTTCACCCTCCCGACCGTCGTCTTCGCCCTGACCCCGATCGTCCTCTTCCTCGGCAAGAACAAGTACAACCGCACCCCTCCCGCCGGCTCGTCGCTCGGCAAGGCCTTCCGCATCCTCAACATCAACTTTAAGCGCGCCGGATTCTCCCCCAAGGCGTGGAAGCGCTCCGACTTCTGGGAGGCCGCCCTCCCCTCGCAGTTCGCGACCGCCGAGAAGCCCGCGTGGATGACTTGGGACGACACGTTCGTTTGGGAGGTTCGCCGTGGATTCAAGGCGTGCCAGGTCTTCCTCTGGCTCCCGCTCTACTGGCTCTGCTACAACCAGATCAACAACAAGTGCGTCCCGCGCCGCCTCTCTCGTGTCTTTCTCGCGTGCGAGAACGATCGCTGACCGCTCCCGTCGCGCCCCGCAGCCTCACCTCGCAAGCCGCCGTCCTCAACACCCACGGTCTCCCGAACGACGTCCTTGCCAACCTCGACCCGTTCGCGCTCATCATCCTCATCCCCATCTTCGACCTCGGCGTCTACCCCGCCCTCCGCCGCGCCGGCATCAACTTCTCGCCCGTCAAGAAGATGTTTGCCGGATTCATCTTTGCCTCGCTCTCGATGGTTTGCGCCACCGCCGTCCAGGCTCACATCTACGCTACCTCGGCTTGCGGCACGCACGCTGCGACTTGCGACGCCATGCCGTTCATCCCGACCAACGTCTGGATCCAGACCCCCTCCTGTGCGTTTCTCCTCCGCCCTCCTCCTCCTCCTCCTGCTTCGTCCTGACTCTTCTTCGCTCGCAGACGTCCTCCTCGCCCTCTCCGAGATCTTCGCCTCGATCACCTCGCTTGAGTACGCCTACACCAAGGCGCCCAAGTCGATGCGCTCGATGGTCATGGCCGTCGGCCTCTTCATGACCGCCATCTCTGCCGCCCTCGGCGAGGCCTTCCTCGCACTCTCGGCCGACCCGCTATTGACCGTCAACTACGCCGTTTTTGCCGGCCTGTCATTCGTAGGCGGCGTTGTCTTCTTCATCGTCTTCCGCCCTCTCGACCGCGAGGAGTCCCACCTCAATGAGCTGGCCGCTGGCGCCGCAGATGCGACTCGAGCACGCCTTCAACACGAGAAGGGGGCGTGAGAAGGGGGTGTGAGTTAGGGAGCTTTGTAGCGTAGCCAGTCGTGCAGTGGTGTAAATCGCAGTTTCGTGATTCAGGAGTGCACCGGGCAGTGCGTTCAGCAGCAACGTCCTTCCCGCGTTAGACAGACAGCGATAGCAGCGGTGCCAAGCCAGCCTTGCATAGCGCCCTGCAGTCTGCTCGCGCTGAATGGGCGCGCTTTGCGCGCGTGAAGTCGTCGTTCGTCCAGACATCAGCACCGCGGCCGCAACGCGTCCCAACGCGCCGCTGAAGGAGATTACATTCTGCGCCTAGTACCTAGACCCAATAGCCCGATTAGTAGCAGGAGGTGGGGATGTGAAGGGACCGCTCCTTGTCCCACGCAACTCGTCCCGTCCTTTTCCCTCACACGCCGGCCCTGTCGCGCGACAGCCGACTCTGCACAGCATAGCGATCGTTCAATCCAGCCCAGCCAAATCCGTCCCGCCCCTGCTGCTCGAACAGCTCGTTCCGCCCCTCCTCGCCTCGTCACTTCGGCAGACTCGCCAGACTCGATCGTCCGAGAAAGCGTCAGGGCTTACGAGTGCCCTATCCAAGCAGCACCAAGCAGCTCGTCTGCGCCTTTCCAGGCCGCGCCCGCCCTTCCCTCGCCGCCCAGCTTCGAGTCTCCTCCAGCCAACGCCCAGCGAGAGACCTGAGACGGTGCCAGACGGACCAGCGCGGGCGTGAGCATGCGGGCCAGTACCGAGTACTCTTCCAGCTGTAATCTAGCGGGGCGCTGTGGTGTGCAAGGGTCGAAGCTGCACCAGCTCTCTCGTTGGCCGCATGCTTCTACCCTCAAACCCCCTCACCCTGCTTTGCCTCTCTCTGCTGCTGTCTTCTGACTCTGGACGACCTCTCACCACCTCTCCCCTCACTCGCGCACCTCCGCTCGCGCCATGAGTCTTCCCGCCCGCTCGTCCTCACCCGAACGGCCTCCCTCTCCCGCGTCCGACGAGGATGATTCGGACATCGAGTTCGAGGAGGTCATCCTGCCAGCCTACGAAGCCCGCGCCACTGTCGACGACCCTGACCCCGACCCCGACCTAGCCATCGCTGAACGCCTCCTCGAAGTCGCTGACAACGCTCCTCCTGGTTCTGCGGTCCCGGCTACGCTCGGCGGAGGAAACGGGTTGGCGAGTGCGGACGACGCTGCGCAGGGGAGGAGGGACCGGGCAGGTCAGGCTGGAGAATCGTTGGAATCCGTACGTCCTTCTCCTACCCTGTCCTCCAACTCCTCGTGTTCCCCCAGCTCAGCCGGTACTCATGCAACCCTTCTTGTAGTTCCCTCGTCTCGCAGACTTCACCGTCGGAACTAACAGGCAGAGGGAGAACGCCTTTGTCCGCTCGACCCGCACAACGCTTCGTTCGCTCATAGATCAAGTAGCTCGACGCGTCGTCGTTCACCCCGACTCGGCCGCTTCCTCCGCCTCTGTCGGCCCAAGTGTCCGCCCGTTCGCTGCGTTCCTGCCCGTCAAGAAGAAGTCAAGAGGGAAGAAGCGGCGTCCGACGCTTGAGAAGGTCAGCGGAAGGGAGGGGAAGCGGCGCAGGGTAGGAGACTCTGGGACTGGCGATGCGACAGGCGCGCAGCATGTCGGCGAGGAAGAGGAGGATCCGAGGGACGCGGGAGACGAAGACGACGACAACTACGAGCCGGTCGACGATGACGATGACGAGGATGAGGACGATGACTACGACCCCGACGACGACACGGACACGACCCATACTAGTACAGACTGTCCTGTCGGTGACGACGTACGCGCCTACGCCGCTCTGCAGATTGTGATCGCCAATCTGGAGCGGCTTCGGCAGGGACGTCCGTCACGATTCGTCGTCGCGGGGTCGCCCTCTCCGCTCCTCCCGCCCAACAACCAGATTCTCTGCCGCCCTCTCCATGATTCCCAGCCATCTACCTCGACCACCCCGACCGAGATCACCTCCTCCTCCTCCCTTCTCGCGGCGTCGATGGTGGTGAACAAGAAGTACCACTTGTTCGACAACTACACCTTCTTCTCCCTCTTCTCCGTCTTCCTCCTGACCCCGACTTTCGCTTCCGACCTCTTCACTTTCCTCTCCTCCGCCTCACCAGACCATCCCTTCCGAATCAAGATCAACCTCATCGGCCGAGTTGAGGATACCGTGCAGTCGAAGGACGGCCATCGCAACGTCGATCTCGATCGTCTTGCGAGCTTTGGGCGGAATGCGAGGACCGCTGCCGTACACGTTCGCGTAAAAAGCCGGGCGGATGGTGTCCTGGGCGACCTTCGAGCGACGGTCTACTACCGTGCCTCGGTCCAGCCTCGCGAGAAGTTGGAGCAGCTGTTGCTGGATGCGGGATGGACGGGAGAGGGTTGGAAGAAGCGTGTTGCGCCGGCGGAGCAGCGGAAGGTGCAGCGCTGGATCGACGCCCTTCAGGACGAAATCGACTCGACTTTCGACCGCGACCTCCCCGCCGTCCCCGCAGGCGCTTCCCTCAGCGGGCCGACCTCGCCCAGCTCGTCAACCTCCGTCGGCGGCTCGACCGGCGGCTCGACCTCCCCTTCTTCTGCTCTCTTCTCATACCCTCCCTCCGTCAACGACGTCTGCAAATACTGGCACCTCGACCCCTCAGGACGTCCCCTCCCTCCGCTGCCCTCCCCCTCGAAGCAGTACAATCTCTGGCGTGAAGGCGGAGTATGTGACTCGCTATGGACGGCCAACGCCTCGGATCCAGCGACACAGTCTCTCATTCAGCCTCAGCTCTGCACCTTTCCTCTTCCCTCAAGCGATTTCCCCGATTTCCAACTGCACGTCGGTGCGTTCTCGACCCTCGAAGCCGCCCAGCAAGCGGTCGTCGCGCTCCTCGAGGAGAAGAATCTCCTCGACCACTCGTTCCCGCCCAGCGCGCTCGGTCGCATGACCACCAACGTACCTCGCGGTGTCGGTCGGGCCAGTCGCTTCGGAAGGCACAAGACTTCGGGCGCTGAGCATACAATTCTTGCCTCGATGCAGTGCGTTGGGGCTGTTTGGCCTGATACTTCTCTGCGGATTGCGCTGATTACGTTCTTCGGTTCCCTCCCTCCTAGTGCGGTCATCAACAACGCCGGCAGCAGCGCGCCAGCTCCTCCTTCCGTTCCTTCTTCCTCGCCTCCTCTGCCTGCGCCCGCCACCGTCGCCTCCTCCGCGTCCGCCGTGTCCGTCGAGTCCGTCAAGCCGTCTGCGATCGGACCGTATGTCGCCCAGGTCTACACGTCGTCGGCAGGTCACCTGGAAGTCGGGATTCAAGAGACCCCCCTCTTCGACCTCGAAGGCTGGCACCGAACATCGGCTGTCGGCGTCCTTTTCCCGTGGTACAGGTTTGCGACAAAGCCGGCGCCTGATCAGCTTGAGAACATGAGTAAGGGACACGCTGGCGGGTCGAGCAAGGGTAGTCGGTCGAATCGCGGGCAGTTTGTCGATCGGGAGTCGAGTGTGAGTTTCACGTTCTCCCCTCCCTCGTTTTGCCGCGTTGACTCCTTCTCCCGGTCCAGTTCACCGAGAAGCTGCTCATGATTCGCGGAGCAGGCAGGGAGGTAAGGACAAGCCTGACCACTCAACCCGCCGACTTTGCCTAGCTAACTCTCCAACTCCTGCCGCTTCTCCTCCTTCCTCCTCCTCCTCCTGACTCTCCCTCTCCTTCCCCGCCCCTCGCAGGTTCACCTTTGCCTCAACATCCAGCAGTCCTCCCATGCCTACGGCAGTCCTCCCTCCACCTGGTATTCTTGGCACCTGGACTTGCCGTCCTGCGCCGCGGTACCCTCCAAGTCGATGTGGCTCCGAACCAGCTCGCCTATCCACAAAGCCTTGATCGCCATGGTCAACCCCGGTTCAGATCCTTCCGCCCCGACCATCAAGGTTCCCTTCAACCTGCGCCAGAAGAGCAACGACTTGCTGATCCAGCGCATCCGCCCGACGAGCGAGCAGGATGACGGAAAACCTCCCCCGCGTCAACTCTCGCTGCTCGACCCGACCAACTTTACAACGACGAGCGTCAAGAAGGCTTGCCAGTTCCTCCTCGAGTGCGACGACTTCTGCGAGCAGACCGCCGTTTCGCGCGTCAACCCCGTCTTGACTGTTGAAGAAAGCGAGCTCCTGGTGCGTGGACTTACTCTTCCCTCTTGCTCGCTTTTGCTGAACCTCTCTTGCTTCCTCCTCCTTCCCTCCTTCCTTCGCCTTCACCGACTGTTTTCCTCCTCCGCATCAGAAAAATGTCATCGAGGAGACGCCGCCTGCTCGTCTCGCGTACGACATGTACCAGGCTCAGCGCAGCAAGCCAGGCGGGATGCGGAAGGGCTTGCCGGTATGTTGTCTGTTCCATCGCTCTCCCTGCTTCTCCTTCCTCCTCGCCGCCCTCCCTGCCTCCTTCCGCCTCCGTCCCTCTGTCCTCCTTCGCTTTCCCTTGATCCTCCTGCCTTTGCAGAGTCTCTCTGCCCGTCATCGGGCCTTTCTGGGTCCCCCTCCCTCCATTAGCACCCTGCTCACTGTCCTTCGCTCCTACAGGTCACATTCGCAGGCGGCTTCGTAAACATCTATGCCGACCCGCAGATCGGATTCAAGCGCGTGCTTGTGGCCGCCCGCCAGAACGACGTCCCTTCCATCCTCTCGCTGCCCAACCCTCCTCCCCCCGCCTCCCTCTGCTTCCTCTCCCTCTCGCCTCAGAATCAGATCCTCGTCTGGAGACCTCCCATGCCCCAACCTGTCCCGCTCTCGCGCCTCGGCACACTCGCTCCTGCTCTCGCCGACACAGTCCGCACGGCCATCCGAGCCGCCCTCCGAACCGCCCGCTCTCCCCGCGCCGCCTTGAGCAGTCGGAAGGCGGACCTGGAGCAGGGAGGAGGCGGAGAAGGTCGCGGAGGAGGAGGAGCCGAAGCGCGAGAGGGAGGGAGCGCACATGCCGGGATGGAGTTGCAGGAGTGAGGAACGTCGCAGGAGGGAGGAAGGGGATGGGAGGAGGGAGGTGGGAGTATAAGGACTGGGGACACGGACTGAAGACAGGCGCGAGGAGTGGGGTGAGGTGCGAGCAGGGGATGAGGGATGGAGTGAACTGCGAGGAGGGGATGAGCAAAGCGAGGAAGGTAGGCTTGACTGCGATGGAGAAGGAGGGTGGGATTTTGCTTGTTGCTCTTGCGCCGCTTGTCG